TATCGATCCGAGACTTCAAATCAAAACAATTTTTTTTCGATATTGATATTTTTTTTCGAAAAATCTAGTCTTCCTAATAAAGGTAACACAAAGATGTTTACACATAATACATTCTGGCTTACCGTACGTCTGAACAAATTTCAGCAGCGCTAAAAGATAAAAAAAAGGAGAGTAAACTTTTACATTGTGGACTTGGTTATTGGAAATATGGATTTTAACTGATTAACACGATAACAATATGCAATACCGTATCTTTGGATAATTTGTGGTAGACGGTTTGAAAAATATCAAAATTTAACTGGGAGCCATCCTCGATCCCAAGTGCGAGGTTTAATTATTTGGGAGACACAGAAAAATCCCCCCGTCTTATCAGCAACAACTCGATACTCCCTCATAGACTCGACCTCATTTTTCGTTTCAAAGACTACTTAATTTCCCCATATCTTGAGCTTTTCTCACCTGCACCCATCACCAGAAAAAGGAGAATTCGCCTCTCCATCATACAGACACCCATACGCTTTAACTTGAAGGATATTGCATCTGCAAAGAGTTATTATGGTCAAACTGTTCTACTGCACTTATTGAACGAATGTGGCACTAAATAATAAAATTAAAAACAATAACAACGACTTTATAACATTTCTATTCGTTCAACAAAGCTCTCTAATACGTTATGCAGATGCTATTATAAGGGAAATTAGCAAAACTCTTGTCACAAAAGAGCATGGCGTTGATCTATTGTAAAATATAGTATCGTACTCTGCGTAATAATAGATCTTCCATTCTTTAACTGCCTAGAACACGGCACCTGATGAAACGTGTTATCACATACAGCATTCATTCATTTCAGGCCAGGACCTAAGACAATTTTTGTCATTGGTAAGGAAGGCTTTTCATAAACTCAAACTTTTTGTTAATGCAACAGCGTTGTTCCCCTTAAGTCAGTTGAAGGCAACTGTTCTTGTGAGGCACAGAGTATATCTAATTAGTTTAATTAGTTTAATTTAATAACTGTCGCAGTATATTGTTAGTAAACTGACCAGCACTTAAGCCGCACAAACTTACAAGAAAGTATATGCTTTACTGTTGCGGTATTGTAAATAGAATGAGCAGCACTTAAGCCAAACAATCTTATTTAAAAGCATGCATTACTGTAATAAGCTGTTACTGACAGTTTTGTTTTTCCATGGAGAAAATAGATAATCCTATATTCAGGCGGCTAACTCATTACAGGCCGGTTTTTGTTTTACTCATTACTTTCTGAGGAAGTTCCACCCAAATGAGAATATATTACTAATTGAAAAGAAAATTTCAATTTTGTTTCAAGCAAGCCAATCTCAGTCAAAAAGCTTCTGTAGGTTTAAAAAAAACAAATAGGAAAATAAAACATTGATAGGATTGCATCTTTATCCAAGAACCCGTTCACTTTTTTTTCATTATATGACGAACCTTGTAAAAGCTAATGAAAACTGTGGATCATATTTCAGGAAATTGCTTGCTCCATAATTTCAGTTATTTTCTTCTTCCTTAACTAATTAGCTAATTAACTTGCTGAATTTGTTGCCTTACTTTATTTTGACACTTCTTTCCTTCCGTCCGTCGTGTTTTATGGTTTCCGCACGTCCTCTGAGCTAGTGCACTTTTTCCCGGCTAATTGTAGAGAACGTGTTTTTAAAGGGCGTTTCTTTTGTTTTAACCATAAATTGCAATGTCTTAGCAAAATCCACCCGAATTTAAGAGGCCTTCTTAGATTATCAAAGCGAGTTACAAAAAGTAATTCTTGATGAGCCGGCAAGTTTGCAAGCTGAGCTTGAGAGAAAAAAGTGTACGAATTTCAAATTGTTAAGGTTCGGCTTGAGACATCCCTTTTCCTATCTCTAGGACCCGGTTATTATTTATCGTTGAGGATGGGGAGGCCCCGGGGTCTCGGTGGATTTGTTTCTGTCAGAACTAAGTTTACCGGTTCCCCCAAAGGGCTCTGTAATATTTCCCTCGTGGGAAGTTAAGTGACAGTCGATAATCCTGAGTCCCACCTTCATTCTGTTGGCAACGAAAGTTCCCCCTGAAAACCATGTGATCCCCTAAATCCTCTGGGGTCTCTCCCGAAGGATTTAGGGGTCCCTGAAAGTGTCCCTTAATGTAACGTACAGATGAAATAAAACAGCCAAAAAGAAAACAATTATAATTAGAATAGTCATAAAGCAAGTTTGAACAGCGAGAGTGGATGCTGAGGGCAAACTCGTTAGATGAGGTCATTTCATTTTCAGCTCTAAGTAATTTCCATACAAGGAGAATAGGGTCAGATCGAACGATAAGTGAAACTCTCTTACTGATGATTAAGTTTCCGGTAATCGTGATTTTTAGAGACATATCATTACTTTTTCGCGTTTTTTTATCATAAATAATGGATTTAGGTAATGTTCATACGAGGGAAGTGTTAGTTTTTGTTACCTGTGGTAACCGGTAAACTTTCCACGCATCTTTGCGTAAGGCTTAATGCAATTGCGCAATGATCCCGATATTTAGAAACGTTAGCAATAAATCGCCAGGAAATGACTCAATGGAGACTTTTAAGTCTCCATTGAGTCATTTCCTTAAAATAGTTTTATTCACTTGTATTTAGTCTACTTCTATTTTTTTTTATTTCTTTCTTGGACTACAAAAGAATGGAATTTTTTTGTATTAAAGCATAGTTTTACATTTTTAAATTTTATTTCTTTGGCTGGGCCCTAAACTAGCGCGTGAAAACTGCCAGGTGCAACGACAAACTTGAGCTTACACATAAAGACACACGTTTTTGATTTAGGAAAAGAGACATGAGTTACATAAAACTATCAATAAATTTCCACATAATTAATTAAAAATAACTTGATTATTTAATTATTTCACAAAGTCTCACAAATTATAAAAATTGTTATCTTTATAAACTTGTCTCCCATATTTTTGCCTCTTGCACAGTCAGTTTTGGGATAAAAGTTTGGAAAGCCGCATACCTTTCCAACAGCATCCAAAATTGCTCGGTCCCTTTCAAGGACCCAACCAATTTGTTCTCCTCCTGTCTCAGTTAGACAAAACACTCCAATACCATACTGAGAACCATATGCTAAGGTCTTTCTCCACTGTTGCTCGGATCAGCAGGACCTTCCGAGCATTCAAGTTTTATTTTTAGCCTGGTGGCAGTATCACAGGTTTCAAAGTATTCATTTTTACCTCACAAAGTCTCCGTCATTTTAATTCTCCTAGCAACCTTTGCGCCCCTAACTAGTTTCCATGCTTCGAAGTTAGGAGCGGGACAACACTATAGGGTTTCTCTCGCCAAGTACGCCCATTTCATTGAAGCGGTCGCCCAGTTAAACTTTCAGACTGAATTTTTTAACAGCTTTTTGATTACTTTTTTTGCACAGATAAATTAATTATTTCTCTGTACACTTTTCAGCAGGCTCGCGTGCGTGTTGTTCGCTCGTGCACTTTGGTCACGGGACAAAACTTAAGTCACGTGATCGAATATTTCTGGTGGCCATGTTTGCCGTAAAAGGCTTTTCTCGGCTTAGAAGTGGTTCATGTATGTTCATCATCAAACTGACGAAGATGAAATGTACAAAAAGACTATCAAAGTCTCGACTGCAACAGATAAATATTTATACCTTTAGTAGGTTCGTCGAGCTACAAAGTTCGAATGTTTTCAGTTGGTCGAATACTATGTTGGAAGTAGCTAATACAGATTAATGAGTTTATGCTGGAGAAGTGGCCCACTTTTGTCATTATTTTACTTTAGGTAAGTTGAGTGGATAAAATTTAGCTTCAGTTACGTTTAGTTGACTTTTGATGTTATTTATACTGCTTAAAGTATAAGTGAGTGGCAAGAATCGAGCCTTTCTCCAGAATGCCTTTCTATCGTTTTATCTTGATGATCTGGTACTGTAGGTTTAATGTGATTCAATATTTATTATATCCTGATGATAATACAGTGTCAACCCTTTTAGCAACTTTTTCATCATGAAATACAAGACAGAAACTTTGTTGAAACAGATAGCTGTTTTAGTAAGAAAATGGAAGAGTATACATTTTCAGATTCTTACATAATAATGATAATAATAATTTAATAATTTAATATTTATATTGCGCAAATTAATATGTGGATATGATCAAATGCGCATCACAACACTTTTCGGGGGACTTTGGCCGGACTGCATCAGCAGTTTACAACCAATCGAAGGAAACTTATTTAAAGATGCCCCCTCCCCCCCCCCATTAATTCCCAGTAAACAGGTCAGACCCCATCACAGTAATCTCGTGAGTGGGTTCTTTAACGTCCCCTGCCAAACCAAATTAACTAATCAATAGATACATCAGTATTGTCTACATGTAGGAATTACCCATGCCAGCATAGGGGTTAGACAGGTGCATGACTATTTTCAGATGGAGTTTCTATGTATATGGACGCTATTGCCGACCTCACAATAACAACAATTAAACTCATAGTCCGTTGCAGGATTACCTCCCCCACTGCCAACCAGTATCCATATTTACACCTGGAAAAGGTGAGGCACTTTGAACTTACAGTATCTTGCTCGAGAACAAAATGCAATGCTCCAACTCTAGACACCAAAACTGGACTAATGTCGAGTCCAGTGTACTAACCATTCAGCCACCATGCCTCTTCCTCTGATCCTTATGATTAAAGTGGGGTGATTGGGGTCAATTGGGATTAGGGTGGAGCCCTTATAACATTGCGTAACCAATATTGACTTAAGGCAACTTGAGGCGACTTTAGGCGTCTTTAGGCGACTTTAGGCGACTTTAGGCAACTTAAGGTCCCAGAGTAGGCCCTAAGTGAGCCTGAAAACCTGCAGGTTAACGTATTGTAACACATTATATTCATTTCTACGAAAATCACGCAATAAAACCTGATGATTTATTGTGCTTGTGACAAGGGGGTCATGTGACATAAGGCTGAGGGAATATTTGTTCTTCTTACATGATCATATTTCCGTTTGGTCATGTTAGATGTAACCGAATGGACCGCGGTTTGCTATCCGCACTATAAGCTACTAAGGGAGTGAATAATATCGCAGGTCTGTGGCCAAAAATTGATAATTTTAAGAAAGAAAGAAAGCCCATAACATGCAATTTTAGCTTTTACGCTTTTCAATGATTTACATTGTTATTGAATCGTATCATTGCGTCTTGAATATGCAATTCCTTTTCAAACGAGGGGACAGAGAAATACACATCGATGTATTGTAAAGCGAAAACCACTTCAATCCAGATGTGTACTCCACGACTGCCAGTACTTTTACAGAAACGCTGGTCATTTTTAGCCGAAATATCATAAGAACGTTGCCTTTAATAATGTAGTGAGTCGTTAAATGTGTACGAAGCCTGCTTCATTAAAATGCACAAATCACTTCCGCTTAATTCGTCTTGACTTTGAGATGCACATTAAATTCTACTCTGACTTGCTGTATCCATGTTCTTGAAGAAAACTTTTAACTGGCCGAGCAGCTTAAGTAGATTCTTAAGAAAAACAAACGCTTGTTCGTCTAACGTGCCAATATTCTGATATTTTGTCTCAAGAACGGTGCTTATTTTGGCAATCTTATTGCCAAAATTATCATTGTTTGTTCGAGCGAGGCAAACTTTAGCAAAGATATACATATTCATCAGCTTGATAAGTCTCACTGATCTGAATTCGTTACATCGTTGGATCGCTTGTCGTAATTTGTGGGAAACTTCATCACGGTTGCCAGAGCTGTGACATTCAGATAGTAAAGCACAAATTAAACAGTTTCATCTTAAATCTGATCTGATACAGGATTATTTGGATGGTTTCGCATTAGCGTAAGCGTTGAGAATCGTATTACAAGAAACGTCACGTTATCAAGGTAGAGGGAAGACCTATTAATTCAGTTTGCTTCAAGATCTAGATAAACACCAGCAGCTGTGGTTTAGAATAAACCAAGAAAGACACGAGGATTTTTAAGGATGGATAAGAGCAATACAGATTGCAGATGAAGAACTTGATAAATTTGCTAAAAACAAAGCGTGACATAGCTATCTGAGTTGAATTCGTGTATCCATAGGAACATACCGCTGTAGAAGTTTATAAAGACAGCTGCTGTATCGGGATCTTTGAGGGTGAGTCTCAAGTTAAAAAGCGATATGTATGAACAAATGACGATGCCACCCGTTGAATTTTATGTAGAATCTTCAAACGGCCGTTACTGTTACGCCTTGGATTCATAGCGCCCAAATGTATTGTTTGTGTTTGATACGAGAAAAGTTTCAAAATAATATTCTCATGGTTTAGAGAGTTTTTGTTCTCGGTTATTTCATCGTATGTTGTATTACAAGATTAATTTTCAGTAATTCGAGCAATTCGAGGAGTGCTTGCCTAGAATTACAAGTGGCTGTAGGATAACCTCAGAAGTTGCACACTCAGTTTTTCGCTTCATTCGCTCACCTGGAAAAGAGTAAATGTTGAATAACCTAGAACACATTACATACACCCCAAAAGTAGCAACAAATCCATTGTAAACGGATCCAATGGAAGTATATAAAAATGTGATAGAAATATAATCTAAGGTCACTGATATTGTTGTGAATGTTTTAGTGCAAGGTCATGGCCGTGGGTACTACTCGTGGGTAAGGGGCACCAATTCAGGTTAGTTTCAACAAGGAAGAATTATTGATCATCTTGTTTTCTTCGTCAGACATACATGGCTCCAGTCACCTGCGTGAATACAGTATTTAAGGTCCACAACGTTACATCGTATGTAATAACGAACGTGTACTTCCACTTTAACTCTTCTTGCCTACTGTAAGACATCACTGTTTCATTGCCAGGCCATTAGGAGTTCTGGATTACCTGACGTCACTTTCCATGCTCGTTAATGAAAATGAGTTTTTTTGGTTGTCGTTACCATAAAAACGTTTCTGTAGAGACTGTCACATTCTGCACACGGAGATTTTGTGCTAGTTGAACGTTAAAATTGTTTTGCACACTCACACACACATACACACACACACACACACACACACACACACACACACATATATATATATATATATGTGCCTTTTGGCTACCTTGCGATTGAGCACTCTACACTGGGGTTGCCATGCACTTAGCCTTCGGGCGAAGCTCATCACCTTAGTTGTGATTTGAGCACTCGCGCATGGCAACGTGTCTGCACTTGGTCCCACAAGTGTAGCGCCCAGGCAATGGTTTATTCCAGAGCTTGGCCCAGTGTATGCACTGCACTGATGAGACCCACATAGGTCGAAACAGTGTGCACTGTCTGCAGTTAGATAGCTCTCGCTTGGCTTTGCCTTTTGGCTACCTTGCGATTGAGCACTCTACACTGGGGTTGCCATGCACTTAGCCTTCGGGCGAAGCTCATCACNTATATCACACCCTACTTTTATGTATTGAGCACCCTTACTTGTATAGCTCTTTGGCATACAAAGCTTTGCTTTCATGTCCAAATTGAGCACTCTATCTAGGATGAGTCATTGCCGTTGCAATTGCGCATGCTCGCTGGTTTACTCTAGTTTGAGCACTCTGGCATGGCTTAGACGATACCACAAAGGTTGGGTCGTTTGGGGTGACCGTCTCGGTTCTCCCCCATCCTAGCATTAGCACTGCACTGATGAGGCCCAGAAGGCCGAAACAGTACTGTCTGCAGTTAGATATAGCTCTTTGGCATACAAAGCTTTGCTTTCATGTCCAAATTGAGCACTCTATCTAGGATGAGTCATTGCCGTTGCAATTGCGCATGCTCGCTGGTTTACTCTAGTTTGAGCACTCTGGCATGGCTTAGACGATACCACAAAGGTTGGGTCGTTTGGGGTGACCGTCTCGGTTCTCCCCCATCCTAGCATTAGCACTGCACTGATGAGGCCCAGAAGGCCGAAACAGTACTGTCTGCAGTTAGATATAGCTCTTTGGCATACAAAGCTTTGCTTTCATGTCCAAATTGAGCACTCTATCTAGGATGAGTCATTGCCGTTGCAATTGCGCATGCTCGCTGGTTTACTCTAGTTTGAGCACTCTGGCATGGCTTAGACGATACCACAAAGGTTGGGTCGTTTGGGGTGACCGTCTCGGTTCTCCCCCATCCTAGCATTAGCACTGCACTGATGAGGCCCAGAAGGCCGAAACAGTACTGTCTGCAGTTAGATATAGCTCTTTGGCATACAAAGCTTTGCTTTCATGTCCAAATTGAGCACTCTATCTAGGATGAGTCATTGCCGTTGCAATTGCGCATGCTCGCTGGTTTACTCTAGTTTGAGCACTCTGGCATGGCTTAGACGATACCACAAAGGTTGGGTCGTTTGGGGTGACCGACTCGGTTCTCCCCCATCCTAGCATTAGCACTGCACTGATGAGGCCCAGAAGGCCGAAACAGTACTGTCTGCAGTTAGTTATATATATATATATATATATATATATATATATATATATATATAATTGTGGGGGAAATAGATTCAGGGTCTATGAAAATGCTGACATGCATTAAATGCCTCGTATGAGCTCTTTTAAAGGTTGTTTCAAGTCAGCGTTGTCTATGCCTGACCCCAGATAAAAGTTCCCAGCTCTTGTTCCCCAAGAAAACTCTAATTACGACGTCGGCAGTATTTGGCGTCACCCGCCTTCTCTCTCCACGAAACGTTTTTGGCCTGGAAAATTGTGATAATGCACAGAAAAGTGGTTTAGTCGCAAATTAATGTAGCATCCCTTCCCATAATTGACACTAAAAGTAATTTAAAGACAAAGAGGCAAATTAAATTTTTGTCGTAACTCTTAAAATGACGAGTCCGTATTACGTGTTTCTTATAGGATTCCTTTGTTCGTAATGACGACAATCTCTGCTTACAGCAAAGAGACAACTAACTATGCTCGATTGTGTCGCCTGCTAGTAGATGTGGGTTCACAAGTACTGAGGGATGTATTCGAGAAACTGCGCCCGCCAGGAAACCTTAATACAGTTTTAAACACTCCTTCTGTATTATCCACGCTGACTTCATTGAAAAAGAGGCGAGTTCTTTACCCGGCACAGTGGACCAAACTCACCTCATCGTCAGTCTCATCGTTGGATTTTGACATTACCCTGATAGCTGTCCTTCTTAGGAATATATGTGGTCTTTCTCCTCCGGCAACTGGCTGGAACACTCCTCCACCCGCCTCAGACACAACAGAGGCAGCCGATATCACCCGTATCAAGATCTATAGGAACGAAGTCTTCGCCCACGCCGAGCGGGCTTCTGTTGATGAAGTACAATTCAATACTCATTGGAAGAATATCAAGGACCCCTTGGTGAGACTAGGAGGTATTAAATACGATGCGATTATTGATAACCTGAAAACTGAGGGAGTAGACCCTGAGAAGGAAGAAGGGTATCAACAGCTCCTCAAAGAATGGAAGGAATATGAAGAAAGTGTCATTTCAGAGGGAATTGGTGAGATAAAGGAACAACTGGGGACATTCAGTTGCAAAATACAAAAGCTAGAGGAGAAAGTAGATATGATGCTACCTTCGGCAATCCCCGCGAAAGATCTCTGCCTAAAAGGTGAGGACTTTTCTGACTTTGAAACATTTAACCCGAAATAGTTTGATTTTAATTGTACTGCACCGGGAAACTAAGCTTGATATCAACCTGCTCGACTGCAGATAAGGTCAAATCAAACTAAAAATTATGCAACGAAGCCAAATTGAATATCGACTATTCAACAATTTTCATTTAACCTGTGGCAAATAATTGTCGCAGTATAATTGCTCAGATGCCTTTGAATTTTTTAGATTCTGCCTACAAAGGTATAGAGATAAGTACTTCCTACTCGCCAAAACGCGAGGTAGCCAGGAAATTTAGCGCTGCTGCTATAACTACCTCGTGCGAGGTGATTATGGCAAGACGTGACGCAATCCTCGACCAATCAGTGCGCTCTCATCTTTATGATTGCCGGATCAGTTGTACTAAATGTTAATACAGCCAATACTGATAATAAATTAATAACTCCATCGCCACTCTGGGTGCTTTTATCCATTACAGACTTAAGGGATCGTCTGGAGAAGCTCTATAACAACTTAAGCCAGGTCAGAGTCACACCTTGGGATCCTGACAACACTGTAGAAATCGACGAAATTTACACAGAGCTCTTTTGGGTCAGGGACTACAAAAAGCCACGTGGGAAGAAACAGGAGAAACTTGATGATTATTCCAACATTTTGAAAGAGCTAAAAAGCAACAGAATCCTTGTATATGGTATGCCCGGTATAGGAAAATCCACCTTCGCTAAGAAAATCGCCATCGACTGGGCAAGAGGTAGAAAGGAAAACCTAAAGAAGTTTGATCTGCTACTCATGATTCCGTTACGAAATGTTTCCAATATTAAAACCTTTCGTAACATGTTAATTGAAGCTAAGCTATTTTCCGCTGAAGACCACAGGCTCGTAGATACTCTCATCAAGTACATCCTTGAGCACAAAGATAAAGTTTTGTTGGTTTTGGATGGTTATGATGAGTACAGTGCAGGCGAGGAGACACCATTTGTTGGCCGCCTGTGGATGGGGGAAGAATTCCGGGAATGCTTTGTGATACTGACAACGCGACCGATAAGGGAAGATGATGTAAAGCGATACAGCAGCGCTCATTTCCAGATAAAAGGATTTGACGAAACCCAGATCAAAGAGTTTTCAATGAAGTTTCTAGATGATGAACAGGAAGTGCATAAATTTCTTGATTACATTAAGGTCCACAAGCTGAAGGAAATTGCAGAAATTCCCCTGCTTCTGCTGATGCTTTGTTTACTCTGGAAGGAAAAGAATCGCAAAGGGTTACCAGAGGCAAAAGTATATCTTTACAGCGAGTTCATTCAAACTCTTTTTAACCACATGGCCGCAAAGGACGCCGATGAAGAATTTAGGAGCATCAAGAGTTACCGTGTCGATCTTGAACAAGTAGGAGAACTGGCATTTAATGCGTTACTAAACAATTCTCTTGAGCTTGATTACGAGCATTTTCCTAACGAGCTTCTGAGTAGCAAATTGATCCGAGTTGGCGTAATTCAGATTGTAAAAGTCTTCAGCGCAAAGCCAAAGAAGATGGTTGCCTTCCTTCATAAATCCTTTCAAGAATTCTTAGCAGCCTGGTTTATCATTCACAAGTTACTTCCCTCCGCTAAAGATAATGTTACTTGCATACCTGTCATAGATTCAACAAAAAAAGTTGTCGACTTGCTTGAGGTCCTCAAATTTGTCTGCGAATGGTCGCCAGAAGGGTCGAAAGCGGTATTGCAGCATCTGGCGTCTTTGAGGAAAAACCACGATCCTCTCAAAGACGTTAAAACAGAAACACCGTTCGTGGAGGATTTGCCGAGCAATGACAAAAGATTATCAAAGTTGAGCCTCGAGTGCTTTATCACCACACCCATTCAATTCAAGACAGAAGTGTACCCGTCACTATTGAAATCTCTCACTGGCGTTTTAATAATACCAGACACACTCCTGTCTCAGGTGGCCGACGGGCATTTTGTGAAGTCCGAATCCCTGCCTGAGAGTGTATTCTTTGATTTTCAAAGGCGTCCTTCTCCTGAAGATCGTGGCTACATTTCCTCCATAATGGACGATCTTAACGCGGTAATTGTAAGTGCTTCAGAAGAAACGAAGGCTACGGACTTTGTTAGAAGACAAGGCAAAACTGATGTATTGGCCTCTCTATTGGTAAAACGCGTAGAAAGTAAGATGTATCTTCACTTTTCTCAGATTACTAACATTGACGTTGGAACACTGAAGAGGCTTGCGATACCAGCACCAGCTACGTTTTCTCAAGCCCGTATAAGTCATGAAGACCGAGAGGTCGGTGATAGGGCAGCTAAGATGGATTTACTAATTCGTCGGCACTGTTTTTCTCTTGCAAAGAAAATTGATGTCAAGGACTTAGAAGGCGACATCATCAGCGTTATTTCTAATGTTTTGCCCTTTCTTGGCAGACCGCGAGAGATAATATTACGAAGCACTAAAGAATCCTTTGCGTCTCAGGCGACGGAAGGTCTGGTGTCGGGAATGAACATAACAGAGTGTCTCAAACGCTTGAGACTCCAAAAAATAGGCTTGACGGAAAAATTTCTGCCCGTGGTAGCAAACGCCTTTCCGAAAGCTTGTAACTTGCAAGAGTTGTCCTTATCAGAGAACCCATTGGGTAGCAGTGTGAGGTGCCTGGCAGCAAATCTTCGTCATGTACAGCAGCTGACTATCTTAGAATTGTCAAATGCTCTCATGGAACAAGAAGCCTTCTCAGACCTTGCTAATGCCTTGCGCCATGTTCCTCACTTGGAAGAACTTTCTGTGTCTCGAAATCGACTCGGAACGTCGATCATAGATTTAGCAGAAAACTTGGAATATGTTCCCGAATTGACTCGACTGGATTTAAGAGAAACCCACATGGACGAAGAAGGAGGAATGGCTATCTCTGACTGCTTACAAGCTCTTTTAAAACTAGAACTGCTGGATATATCTCACAATCCACTGGGAAGCGCAGTTGCTGTGATTGCAGAAAATCTTTGCAAAGCTACTTGCCTCATTGACCTCAATATGGCTGACACAAAAATGGGCGCAAAGGAGGCCACGGCACTTGCTAGCTCTCTTATGTACCTTCAAAATCTTACAACACTGTCAGTTGGATCCAATCAACTGGCTCAAGGAGTAAGTGATCTCGTCTGGCATCTCTCTGAAAAATCAAAGCTGAAGCGACTTAACATGGAGAACGTAGAGATGGGCGAGGAGGAGGTCGACAATGTGGCGAAAACCTGCAAAAAGCTCCAAAGCTTGGCCATTGTTAATGATTATCTTGTAAGTGATCTTTGTAGTTTTGGCAGATATGAAAGTGATCATTATCGTAAAGACTCAATCACCCTCTGTCTTGAAGGTTAAGTATCGAGTAATGCCCCTTCCCCAACTCTCGAATGAGCCCTCCCCCTTAGTTTCCCGCTTTAATCAAAATCTCTAAAGGGGGTAGTAAAAGGTGGCTTAAGTTGATCTCGTTCTTTCTAGTCGCCAGTTATTTGATGGTTCGTAGCCTCGACACTGTCCTTTGTATCATTGAAATTGGTTTATAAAACTGGCCTATTACTTATCAATAAGTCGCCACCATTGTTTAATTGCCTTTGACTCAAAAACAAATGAATAACCCTAATGGCTAAGCATTCCTAAAATAATTTAAGGAAAAACGTCTTTAGCACGTAATCTTCCTTCCATGCTTTAATCTCATGATAAGCACGGCTGGCTCAATGGAGTAAATCTCTGGTAAATCTCTTTACATCTAAATTTTCGTTTTGTCCTAGTGACACCCGCGACATTAGTTGCACCGTTTTGTAGTTGGCTTACCTTTATCTTGTTGCCCCTCTCGTTTCAAGTAGATCCTTTAAAGTAGATTCTGTACTCCAGGTGTCTTTACTATCTCTGTTTTCTTTTAATCCATAAGATACATTCTCCACTTTTTGTACTCAAAGTCTTTTTGTGCTCAATTTTTGTGGTGTAACAGGACGAAAAAGGAGAGTCTAAGAAACGACAGAAGAAAGCTGATGACCATATTCCAGATGACGACGATGATTACGGTCAGAACAACTTTCCAGACAACAATCGTCTACCTTATTCTCCCAACAACAGCTACAACGACAATGACAGTAATGACGAACACTTCGGAGGTTTGTATAATGACTATGATTTTAATGACGATCGGGACCACTATCCAGACAACGATTTTGAAGATCATTCCCCCAACAACAGCAATAGCGACAAGGACAGTTATGACGAACCCTTTGGAGGTTTGTACGATGATCCTGATTTGAATGACGATCGGGACCACTTTCCAGATAACGATCTTGAAGATCTTTCCCCCAACAACAGCAATAGCGACAACAGAAGTTATGACGAACCCTTTGGAGGTATGTACGATGACGCTGATTTGAATGACGATCGGGACCACTTCCCAGACAACGATTTTGAATATCATTCCCCCAACAACAGCAATAGTGACAACGACAGTTATGACGAACGCATTGGAGGTTTGTACGATTACGCCGATTTGAATGACGATCGGGACCACTTTCCAGACAACGATTTTTAAGATCATTCTCCCTACAACAGCAACAACGACGACGACAGTAATGACGAACACCTAGGAGGTTTGTGCGACGACACTGAATTTAATAACGATCAAGACCACTTTCCATACAACTAAGGGGGAGATCATTCCCCCGACAACGGCAACAACGACGATGACAGTAAAGGCGGACACTTGGGAGGTTTGTACGATAACACTGATTTTAATAACGATCGGGACCAATATTCCGACAACTGTTTTGGAAATCATTCCTGCAACAACAGCGACAGCGAAAACGGCAGTAGCGACGAACTCGAGGAGGTTTTGTACTAAGAGAATGATTTTGATGACCATTAAGACCACTTTCCAGATAACGATTTTGGAGATTATTTCTCCAACAACAGCAACGATGACAACGACAGTAATGACCAACACGTGGGAGGTTTTTACAACGAGAATGATCAGGAACTTTTTGCAAACAATTATGAAGGAGGTTATTCCCCTCACAGTAATGACGAGAAGGAGACTAAGAAGTGACTGTGATAATGATCGCGACAATTTCCCAGACAACAGTGATACAGAGGATAACTTTGAATTAAAGATCACTGCGCCAGTGATCTTGTAGATGACGAAAGTGATTGTGAGAATCATGTTCCTAACTACATCAATGAAAAAGAGGAAGTTATTGCCAATAATCGATGGCCGAGTGTCTATGATGACGATGAAGTTGACGATAATCGGTATGATACCTATGTTGCAACAATTTAGGACACTCAAAAAGTGAAGAAGGCGAACCACCGCAACGAAATCACTTGCTCCTTCTCATCATTTATCGCTTTCGTTTTATACTCCATTTACATCATTTACACACTAAGTTGAAATTGTAAATTGGCCACCGTAACGAACAAAAAGGCTGACGTTTCCAGCGTTAGCCCCTCGTCAGAGCGACAATTTCAACTTAGTTGATATAACCAATTATCTTGTTATCCCCACCAACGCAGCACCACAGTTTCTTTAGAAACTTTCAGCCTTTATTCATTTGTAAATAGTTTTGTTGTTTTTGTGGACTAGACCTTTTTGCAGTTGCGTTTTCAAAATTTACAATTTTTTGATCGTTAAGAAAGAACTTTTGATATACTCAAACCGTCATTAATGTAATAGCAATAGAGAGCTTAAGCACCAGACGTTCTTGACAACGCGAACGGCAGAGAAGCCGTGTAAGACTGGATCGAGGCCTTCGTTCTTGGCGCGAAATAGGAAGGTTAAGCAGTCGACGTTTTTCAGACACGGACTTCTACCCGTGTTAACATGTCTTTGCTAAAAGATGCTAGAGATATGACCTTAATGAGCAAGGGAATAAGTTTCTTTACCCCACTCTCTTGACAGAATGAATAATTCGTCAATTTATTAGGCGACTTGAAATTTACCACTTCATAGTTCTGTAAACAATGCGAACAAACGAGCGAGCATGAAGTTTTCAGTGCATGATCTGGATGCCTAGAGGACCATTTCTCTTTTTCTAAATTCGTCAATCACAGCGAGATTTGTTATTCTTATGTTTGTAGTAGGTTGCTCAAAACCTAGCATAGATGCATACGATATACAATGTGCAGTTACAAAACACAACCGATGCAGAAAGACAATCATCTATCTCATTTTGCCCTTTTTTATTGTATCTAAATGTCGCTTAAGTGTCTTAATTCTAAATTATCGCTCAAAGTAATTTGTGATAAGCTTAAACCCGGTTTAAAAAAATCTTAGTTCTGCATTTGATGATTCAAATGGACATGAAATCAAATGACTTAACTCACCCAGGCTTGGCGAGAAAATTGTCTGCCATTGTCGAATCCCGTTTAATCTATCGATTAAGCAAAAACCACTTTACGCGCTACGAAAACGTTTTTTAATCATTTAATGAAAAGCAGAAGAGCTTTTTATGGTTTTGAGTCAACAATTGATCTCCTATAAACAAAATAACAGCATATTTTTGTGGCGTCCTACCTTCAACCTGAAAAGTGGCGTTCTGGCGTCTGCGACGTGACCACGCGAACGTCATGACATGCGTAGTATGTACATAGTTCCTCTAATGACTTCCGGTAGGCCTTCGTTACCTCAGGAACGTCTGGTGCTTAAGCTCTCTAATGATTCACAGAGGTCGAGAAGTACATGAGCTTGTGAAGCACAAAGAACATCAAATTAAAATCTTAGTAATTGCAATTGCATTAATTAGATGTTGCGATGACTTAGCCCTTACGGAAAGTTTCCTAAAAGCATGCGTTGCATAAGGTGATTCCTAAGGAAAAACAATTCTTGAACAGTTTTTTTTTTAATTTTCTTTAATTGTACCCTAACAATGTATTTTTCGGAGAATACAATAAAAATGATCGGTCACCGTACCTCTTTGGGACCTATGATGCGCCAAAATTACCCCATTTATGCCTGTACGCCATTTATGCCTAATCACGCGCGTCATTTCATCGGCTCACGGTACATTTTACGGTAGCTAGAAGCAAGGGTTTTAAAGCAAAACTTAAAAAAATCCTTATGGGTAGGAAGCCTCGAACGTACGGAATAATTTGGTATATGTTTTGTGGAAAATCACGCAGTTTCAATAGACATCAATAAAAAAAGGTTCCTTGAGTCGTTGCTTTCAAGGTCATAATTTGCATCCTCAAGTAACGGGCTTCGTGCGAGCTTTTAGCTATATCTTTTTTTCCCTTAGATTAAGTTTTTAATTTCTCCAATTCCAAGGGAATCTTTTTTACACCAAAATTATGCAATAAAAAATATAGGTCCCCTTGCCCCTTCAAGAGACCATCGTACCTCTTTACCTAGTCCACTGATTGAGAAACGATACCATTTTCTCAGAATGCGCGCGCGCTTGTTCGACCTACTACTTGATTTTTATGCCCGGCACAGAATGCGCAGTGCAATAATGAGGAAACACCTGAATGTCTCATATGTGACTTTCCCGGAACAGTTTAAAATGGGCTCTGAACTAACGTTAAATAATTATTTCATCAGGTTTTTATGTTCATTTCTTTTCCTTGCTCGATTTTCACGTGGCTTAATTAACTAATCACCTAAAATAAAAAGGAACTAGTAACTTTCATCAAGCTTAATACAGTTGACACGAACAAAAAATTTCAAAAAAAGTGTCCTCTCTCCCTGAATCAAACATTAAGGTCACGAGAGGAGAGGAAAGCATCACCAGCTAAAACAGCCATTGATCATTGATCAAATTCTCCTCCTCTGTACTTTAGGGAATTTATAGAAAACAATATAGAGAATATGTATGCTATTGTTATGGCGGAGAGGATTTACGGTCGAGTCGTCGGAAAGTCATCTCGCCCGAAGTCATGTCGTCTGAAACCAGAGTCATGTTGCTCGAAATTCATAGTCATGTCGCCCGAAATCCTAAGTCATGTCGCCCGAGACTTTATCGAGTGTTTAAACTCGAAAAAAAGTAACATCTTGAGTAAATCGCAAGGAATAAACTCGTAAAATGTTGACTCGTGAGACTCAGGTTGTTCATTTCGCTGTTGTTTGATATCACGGATAGTAATCCTTAAATAAAACCCGAAAATAAAAGAAAATTAGTAATATCGTTCTCAGTATGGTTCTCAGTGTTGTTGTTTTATATGTGGAAGCATTCTGTTTCGAACGAAGATTCACATCAATACGATGGGAACATTGGAAAACGCCGCCATCTTGAATATAGCACGTGCTCAAGAAGCATCACATGGTTGCCAGGCGAGATTGTGACATTTCGGTAAATTCAGACACGCATTAATACTTACATATTTATTGCTAGCAACTAAACCTACATATCTGATATTTTTTATTGTGATAAAATAAACTATTCTTTTTAAGCTAGAACAATAATAATAATAATAATAATACTGATAATAATACTACTACTACTACTACTACTAATAATAATAATAATATCATTACTTTCCTAAACGCGAGCGAAAACTAAAGCACTGTAAAGTTGATCCCTGATCAAAATCATAACTTCGAGATAAATATTTTCTTGTCCGGACCTCCAACTTTGTCTTTATGTACATACTAGATGGCAATGCAAGCTAGTCCTGAGGTAAATCCCAGCGTTCTGATTGGTTCTTGCTTGGTCCGTATCTTGAAAAGAGGACTGTTTCCACGGTAACGGTCGTAAGCCGTTTATTTTAGTTCGCAAAGCCGAAAAATTCAAAATAAACAAGTTTGGTCTGAGTGCCATGTAATAAAACACCTCCTAATCTCACTTGCTCGAGACGTACTGGAGAACATTGACCCTCGATCGTTTTTGTACGGACCTTGCTGCGCTCGGTCCGCACTTCCACGATCGCAGGCCAATATTCCCTAGTACTTTCCTTGCGCTCGATTGTTAGGAATTATTAGAGCGACTTAGCACCGCGTTTACGTGAAGCGTGAACGGCAAGAGTGACCACGTGACCTTGTTTGCCGCCATTCTTTTCACTCCTCCGGGGTCCCTCGGGGAACTAAATTAGGCCCATGGCTGTTTCTTGTACTTCTAAATGACTTAGTCGTTGATGATTAATTTAGCAAATGTATAGAAGTACGTTGACGATACGACGGCATCAGAAGTCGTTACCAAGAGCAAGTGCAGTTTTAAATGCCCAGGATATCGCGGATAGGGTCGTGGAGTGGTCCCTGCTGAATAGATTCAAACTCAATCGCGAAAAGTGTAAGGAGCTCAGAATATCATAAACATTCTTTCTCTTTGGCCATCGTAGCTTGACAAGAAATAGCATACAAACTGCAGTTACAAACATGACAGTAAAACGCATGTTGGAAAACAAGATTAGTAAACTTTACTTGACGTTTCGTATGTTTCGACATACACCTTCAGAAGTGACAGTTTAAATTTAAATTAGTTGCTTATCTTAAATTTAAACTTAGTCGCCACGTGTATTATTAACTAGATTTCATCTTGGGGCTATGTAATAATACTTTCGACACCATTATAAAGGACCCTGAACACCGTCTGAACAAGTTAATTCAACTTAGCGGTTCGTCACGTTATACCCTGAGGTGCAATAGGCGCTTCATCGTACCCAAATGCAAGACAGATCGTTTTAGAAACAGTTTTATTATAAAATCCTGTACCGTTGATATTAATACGTAGGTTTTTCTAAGTCCCTTTATTGTATTTTATCCCTTTTTCACATACTTTTATATTTAAGTATTTAATTTATTACGTTCTATTACGTTACGGTTTATTACGAATCAACTTGACGGCCTGCTCCCAGTTGGCTTGTTAGCTCAATTGGTAGAGCGCTGCACTAGTATCGCAGAGGTCAGTGGTTCGAATCCCGTACAGGCCTGACTTGTTTCAGGTCTGATTTTCGCTATTGCTTAAATAGCGCTATCTACTGCGAGGATCGTGCATCATATGTAAGTATTTAATGTTATGTACCCATTATCTCAGTTTAATCCGGTTTGTATATATGCAATTCATGCCTTCGGGCTGCAACGTATATGGCCATTTAAATATCTATCTATCTATCTATCTATCTATCTATCTATCTATCTCACGTTTATTGGTTGCGCTTTGCCGTTTCTACGTCAAAGTAATCTTTTTCGCGTTTGACGCGTACGTAAGATTTTTTTTCCCTTTTTCGGCTCAGACAGGAGTAGCGTTACGAATTTTTAACTTAAATTAAAATTGCCGGAAACAGGGCGCCAAAAACTATTTTTTCTAAGTCATACGAGGGCGCCTTTAAAACCACCATGACGTGAGCTTACTCGAAGCTAAAGCAGCAAGGTTCATGCTATTTTATGTGAAACGCGCGTGAAAGGGCTTGAAATTTGCTCCTGAGACAAGCTGTTCTTAATGATAGAGAGATTTTGCACCGCCTTTACATGAAACGTGAACGGCAAGAGTGACCACGTGACCGTGTTTTTTCCGCCATTTCTTCGCGTTTTCCGGTTGCACTTTCCCGTTTCTACGTGAAAGTAACCTGTTTCGCGTTTTCTGTGGACGTAAGATTTTCTCCACTTTTTTCCCTCATACTAGCAGCTAATTGCCGGAAAAGGTTCACCAAGACTATATTCCTTGTAAGTCAAACAGAGGCGCCTTCAAATCCACCATGACGTGAGCTTACTCGAAGCTGAAGCAACAAGGTTCACGCTATTTTATGTGAAACGCGCGTGAAAGGGCTTGCCGTTTCATGTAAACGCGGTGCTAAATCTCTCTATTATGTAGATGTCTCAATATCAGGTTAAAGAACATAGGAGAAAAAAGGGACAGAAGAGAAGACAGAAAAAAAGGATGATTTACACATAACAGACCACTGACGTATAATTTCCAGTTACTTTCTTGTTGCGCGAAATAGAATGAGCACAAACATTTTAATCGCTTAATCAAGGATGCACGAATTAGAAAGTGGTAAAGCTTTTGTTGAAAAGGGTGACTACAAAGGGCTTAACACGGAGAGTATTTTAAACATCTGAAATCTTTCCTAATTATATCCATGGTTTTTTCACACCCTGCCGATTAGTTCTAAGAATTTTTGGACTCTTCTCTCCCCAGCTTTCTCGGACCCTGAACTCAATTTTAAAACAGAACTTTTGCTCCTTCGCAATTGTCTCAAAAAGACACTCAATGAATTGACACATCAAACTCGACCATAAATTTTCAATATCTCAATACTAACAATTTGTATTCAAATACCTTTTTTTTTCCAGTGACAGTTTGTTTGCATAGAAATTCTGCAAGTAAATAAATTTATGCACCATCGCACCCAGAAAATGGCGAAAAATCTTAGCAAAAAACAAACGGTAGACCATTAATAATCTTGACAGGCATCATTTCTGTTATCAAAGAAGACAGGTGCCCTTAAAAGCAAAAGTTATCAACGAAACCAAATAGATGAAGGTAGGAAAAAAAAATACTTTTAACCAGAACTTCTTTGACAAGAGTTAATCAAAGCTGGAGGTACGGATACAGGTACAATGATATAAAACTTTCTCAATTCTCTCTTCAATTAAAAATTTTTTCTAAACGATGTTTAATTAGAGCTTCATGGAAAACGTACCGTTGTTTTCCAACGTAGGCAGCATTGTTTAGCTTGTCTGAGTAACCGTGAGAACCTCAAAGCCCCAGTAATGGAGACTAGATATAGAAAAAGACAATGAGCTCATGTTCTCTGGAAATGTATTATTTCTGTAACGAAAATTAGCACGTTTTGCCATCTTTTTTTCATTTCTTTTCGCAACGATATGAACTTTAGGTCAGGAAGGAACTCGACATTTTTCAAGTTATTGACGTAGCAAAAAACATAAGAGAAAATGAAATTTTCAAGAATCGCAAGGCCGAATAAACGTAAGATATGCTTATTCAGTTGGCTGCAACGAATTTATTAACATAATGTGTTCTTCTAAACCCTTCAATAACTACGTTCCCACGCATCCTGGTAATTAAAAATGTGAACGCGTTCACATTTTTAATTACCAGGATGCGTACGATGACTTTAAAATGTCTAAATTGTCAAAAGGTGAGTTGGTTGCAATTAATTTGACTGGATATCAAAGATCCGGTGTCTGTCAAAAAGGATCAGATTTCAGAAAAAGTCTTAGGCAAGTAGATGTTTCGTTTTACTGAGCCAAATTATAGTATATTTTGGAAAGCCGTGCATATTTTACAAACTCTGTCGAAGGCAGGCTGTACTTTGCTTTTATCTCTTAATCAACGGCCGGTAGGTACTCCCACGCACCGTATTTTCTGTTCTTACTAATATCTTAGAGAATAGAGCGTTCTTTTTTCTCTCAGTATAAAGGAAGATAAAAGGGTTTTTATACGGTGTTTTCGATTCATCAAAGGGGTTAGATCACAACTGCAAGTGAGGGCAGTGTGACAAAATTATGATTTTTCAGTCTTTAATATCATTAATGAACTGAAGTATGGTGAAATATATGCATCTGACGATTAGAACCCACTCTACATCGCTAGACCGTGATTCATGAGTATTCATAACTGTGATCATGATACGTGAACGTCACTTGCAGGTGGGTTTATATTTCAGCAGATGAATCAAAATGAACCCTAATTTAAAACCCTCGGCTTTTGTCCTGTTCGTGAATCTCAAGCACATGGCTGGGGAAATACTGAAGCTTCCTGATAAAATTTAGACTAGTATTTTTCTTTTCCTTCCTTTCCTCGTTTATCACCTCTTTTTGTTCCTTTTTAGAAACATTAATGGATCTTTGTGAAATGGAGGAAGTATGGTTTTGATAAACATTTTTATTTTCACCCTATGTAAAATTAAACATTACAAACGTAAATTAAGATATTCAAATCTTATGAATGAAATCCGTCGGTCATTAATCGAGAGATGACATCAAACAATTCTTTTGCGCCGGTTTCCTGGCTTTCATCCGCTAATCAGTATGATTAAAACAGATGTCTTTTCAGCAAAATTGCATCAAATAATCAAATTACAATATACGTTACGATCACAGTCATCACAAGCAATTTGTTATTGTTTTTTTTTTTTTTTTGCTGTTCACTTGTTGTTGCTTTCCTCTTAAAGGGGGATGAGAAAAAAAGCTGATCAATTCAAACCATGTGAAAGAACGTCAGCTGATCAAAAGGCACTCAAATTTCACTCCACAGTCACTGAAAAAAAACAAATTATCTTATCATTTTAGGCGCGATAAGTGCAAATAAATAAAGTACTTACTTAGCTTGAAACAAACGTACCTGCCAGCGAAGCCAATAATTAATAACGATAAATAGGACCTCATTTCGCTTAATTCGGTTTGTAATCAAACGAATGATGAACAAAATCAGACGACCGCAGGGCGATATTTGATTACACGGTATATACAGACAAAATTGGACGAAACAAAGTCTTGTTACCAATCATTCAAAACTGTAACTAAATCTGCCAAAAAAACTACGCAATGGTTAGATAGATAGATAGATAGATAGATAGATAGATAGATAGATGGATAGATAGGTAGATAGATAGACAGATACTTTATTGGTAAATACTTCGCAGCATGAACTGAATTGCGTATTCACAGATATAAAATAAAAATTGCTATGCACACGTAAACATCATATTATTAAAAAAATACGTATTTCGTCGTAAGAGGGAACTTGTGCATTATTTGTGACTTTAAAAAAAAAACAAACAAAGAACAAAACAGACAACAACAGTTGACTCTTCAAGCTTTAGTAAGGCACTTTGATTAAAAAGGTTGATCAACAAGTGCTAGGGGTAGCCTATATTCAATATTCCTACGCATGTTAGTCCAATATTCGAACTTTCTTTTGTCTATCTTATGTTAAATCAATGCTCCACTTTCCAGTAACATGTACGCTATAAATGATTATTTCCCTAACGTAAGTCTGTGTTCTTAAACTTTAGCTGAAACGCAGCTACGAGGATGTCGCTTTACAAATACTCAGAGGCCGCGCAAATTGGTATTACTGCCGCTTTCTGCTTCTTAGTAATTGCCGACCTTATTGGCAACACCTTGGTTTGCCTGGTGGTCTACCGAAACCGAATAATGCGTACCCCAATGAACTACCTCTTGGTCAACCTAGCCGCTTCGGATATAACCGTGGCGATTTTCATCGCGGTGCGCTACATCTTCCCTCTTCTGTTCACGCATCCGAAAGGAAGAACCGGTGATTTGGTGTGCCAATTGTTTACAGGGGAAGCATTTGTATGGGTCGGTGCTCTTGCGTCCGCTTTCTCCCTGGTATGCATAGCGCTGGAGCGCTATCTCGTAATTAAATTCCCCTACGACGAGAGCAAGCGAGTCACAACTGCCAAATTAAAACATGTTGTCGTGTTCGGCTGGCTGTTCGCTGCATCATGGAACTTTCCCCTTTTCCTGTATGCTCGTTATGACCCTGTCAGCGAGTTCTGCTTGTTCCGATGGCCTACTGCGAATTTCGCGAAAGTTCACAGCCCACTATGTGCCGTTGTGTACGGTGTTTTACCGATTTCCATCATGTCTTACTTGTATTCTAAGCTAGTTTACAAGTTGTGGTTTCGTCCTTCGGTTACATCGGCAATAACCCAACAGAGCAAGCTACGCTATACCAAGAACTCCGCTCGACTTGTGGTCACCGTAAGCGTGATTTACTCGATCTGTTGGTCACCGGTCCTGATAGTATACGTCTTCTCTTCATTCAGCACACAGCAACTGTACTCCGCCGTACACACGACAAGCATCGTGTTGGTCACTATTAATTCTGCAATTAATCCTGTGTTATACAGCTGGCAGAGTCACCGTTTCAGGAAACATACGATGGCGCTGCTACCCTTTGGTTGCCCCACCAGGCGATGACGAATTACCCCGCGGTTATGGCTAAAGATAAAGCTTCAAGCAAGGCGTCACGACCAACACAGATTACTCCGCTTGTAAGTAGGGGCGCTATCGCCTAAATGTCACAATAAAGTAAGACCTCTATGATGCGGGCACAGATCAGACCCATCCTACTGTCCACTTCACCCTTCCCTTTCGCATTAAAATAACGCAATGATCGCCATCTAATGAAGCTCTTAAGTGTTGAACAAATTCTCCTTTTCTGTTTGACCATAGCATCCTTATAAAGAAGTTACGTAAGTTAAACGTGCCAAATAGCGTAATTAATTGGGTTATTGACTTTTTGTCAGACAGATCTCAAAGAATCAAACTAGGTGAGAGATGTCTATCTGAGTGGGGATCAGTAGGGCCTTGGCTTTTCTTAATTATGATCAACGATCTAGTGTCGAAAATGCTCGCTTATGGAAATATGTAGATGACACCACCATCTCCGAGAAGGTTGCAAAAGGGGAGCTTAGTAACGCACAGCGTCATACAGATAGAGTAATACAATGGTCCCTGGAAAATAGAGTCCAATTAAGCAATGAAAACTGTAAAGAGATGCGAATATCCTTTTCAAAGTTCCAGCAAGGATTTGAGCCTATTCTCATCAATGGCGATGCTTTAGAAGTGGTAGAAAATGTAACGCTTTTGGGTCTTAATATCTCCAGTAATTTGACCTGGAATACCCATATTAATGAAATAGTTAAAAAAGCCTCTAAGAGATTATATTTCTTGATTCAACTTAAGAGAGCCAAAGTTGCTCGTACTATCTAGGGCTCTTTTATTCTATTTGCATTCGATCAATCATGGACTATGCAGTACCGGTTTTTCACTATTGTTTGCCTAAATATTTAATGCGAGAATTAGAACACGTACAGAAGAGAGCAATGTCCATCATCTGTCCAGGTCATAGCTATCATGAGGCCTTGAATATTATGAAATTTTAAGAATTAGCCATCCATCACGACGAAATTTGTGAGCCACTTTTCGACAAAACTGTAAATGACAACAATCACCGTCTTCAAAAGATAACACCAGCAGCGCATGAAACTACCTACTTGGTAAGGCGTGCGCGACCTTTTAATGTACAACGCATCAAAACCAGTCGTTTTAAGAATAGTTTTATTTCCTCATGTTTTAAAGCGAACTCATCTTAGCTTTCCCCCTTTTTTTTAGCCGATTGAATCTTTTAATAACTGAGTAGTTAATATCTAAATTACTTAATTTTACTATCTGTATTATGTGAGTAAAATAATACGCAATTCTTTTTTTTGAACTGCTATGTGTTTATGAATAAATAAACTTCAAACTCCAAGAAGTCTGTAGAGAACAGTATGGGGAATGAACGTACTGCTGTTTGGGATGTGGTAAAATCGGGTCTACTCGGTTAATCTTGAGGGAACTGGAACTGCAGGTTGAATTTTGCTAGCCTAGATTAAGTTCTCGCCGCGCTTCGCCAGGCCTTGGGAGCGCGCTTTTATCACATTACGACTGAAGATTAAGGAACGACTGTGAATATATGAAAATCATATACGTCTTAGAAACGGGGATCAATGAGTAAAGATGACTGATCATCGCAGTAATCAACACTACTTAAGAAGTAGTGGAAATAAGTTGAACTCATGACTTCTGTGATACCGGTCCAGTGCTTTATTAACTGAGAAAACAAGCCGCCTGATAGCTGGTAGCCTCCTACGCAGACGTTCTTTAGGCTCGTCACGCAATCTTGACGAGCCCAAAGAACGTCTGCGTAGGAGGCTAGGTAGCTGGTCGATTGTCAGGAAGCTTAAAGATGCCTTTAATTTCTATCGTTATCAAAAATGCTTAAACGTCGTTAACTGAGTAAGATACTTGAAGGAAAATAATTTGGATATATCAACAAAGTTGAAATGGTAAATGAGCCACCGTAATGATTACAAAAGCTGACGTTTCGAGCGTTAGCCCTTCGTCGGAGCGAATAGAGGAATTGTGGGTTGTGTGTGCTTTTAAAGGCAGAAAATGGAGCTATGTTATGGTCGTGGCCACCGCACGTCGAGATAAAAAAAGCTTCACGCCAGTTCTTCGAATTAACTAACCCACTGTGAACATCCGATGTTAAAACCTCGCCTAACACAATAGTATACCGACATCTTCACAGTTAATGATTAGTTTGTACTTAATACAAACAAGGAAATTCGTCAGTAAACAAAAGATTTGAATTTTCCACATCAGCCCTAGGCTACTTTCTTGATGAACTTTTCACGTAAGGCATGTGATTATGCACAGTTGTATGTAGAGAATATACGTTCTCGTTAGTCTGTTTTGATTTGGCAGCGCACCATAAAAAAAAAAAAAGATGTCGCCCCTATGATACAGCGTCTAAATGGTTGACAAACGGACCCCCAACCATGGGAGTGTTTATTTTACTGCGCTGCTCACCTATTTCTTTCCACCGCGTACCTCTACAATATCTATCGTTGAGAAGTATTCCGTTGTTGTAAAAATAGGAGTAGCGTACCAGGGTAATATTAGAATTTTGAGAAGAAAAAGGACTTTCATTGGTGCAGTCTCAAATACGTTTGTTAAATGGTCAGCACCTAAATCTGGAACAAATCATTTCGATTCAATTTTAATTTAATCTAAAATAATTCAAGGCATGAATACAACTTTAAGACGAAATTATCCTAGCTAGTCAACAGCAATTGGTACAATTTCGAGGTTCGGTTAAAACCACCCTTTAAGGCCCGAGTCTTTTCAACTTTCCTTCCTGCATTTGATTATCACAAAACCTGAAGAATTCCTTAATGAAATGAGACTTTCAACCTTAACCTGCTGGTATAACATTTTCTACCGGCAAATTTAAATTTACGCTCCTCAAATAGACGAAAGTCACCGGCACATGTTAAGTTTTTCATTTGAAAAGATGATGGTAACAATACTAAAAGCTAAAAACAAATAACAACAAACCATTTTACAATCAACCCTTCAAACTCCCATGAGTGACCAAGACAGACTTTCTCCTTACAATTTCAATACAATATCAAGCAGACAAGTGATGAGAATACAGAAAAATATCAATTAGGGGATTATTGGTTGATCCAATACCAAATTCTCCAAACTAACATTGTAAGAATTGTATAGCAGACAGTAAGGAGAATTACTAAAAAGATCTTGGGAATGAAAGGGTTAAGAGCATAGCTCGAAGAAAAAAAAATTTCACAGAAAAAGGCATGGACATAAAAAAGGGGTTTCAAGAAAGGTCAGAAATCGATGGTCTACCGCTAAACCTCTTATCATCGTGTGTTTAGTCCCATGAGCAGGCCTTCGTATTTGGGTTTCGCCTTACGACCGCCTAGTAAGCCAGCGGCGGCCGCTTAAGGAAAAAGTGGTCATGAAAACCTCTGAAAACCCCTGTACAAACATCTGCTGGTACGACTAAAATTAATTGCGTAGCTCTTTAAAGTATGATTGTTCTTTTCATGTCAAAGCAGTTGTCCACGACAATCTTCAAACTTTGTTCTTTGGATGAGTTGATCATTCTTCCAAATTAGGTGATACAGCGAGAGCATTACAAAACCCTGCAGTATTTTGATGTCACTCCTGACAGTTCTGAAGAAAAGGTTCTTCTGTTTTGCTTACATAACGTAAACTTTGTCAGCTTGTTCCACACGGAAAGTCTCCTTTGTCTTAGGACAAGTCACACGGCCATCGTTCTCGTTCGCCATTCCCCGTAAAGCCTTAAAAAGAGAGGGAAAGCGTAAAAGAAAAAACAAAAAAAAAACAAATCATAATACAAATACTAAAGAGTCTACACAATTAAAACAAAACAAAACAAAAAAAAACAAAAAAAAAACAAAAAAAAAAAAAACAAAAAAAAACAGAGAGGCTAACATTCTATAAACTAACCAGACGTTTATGCATGCTACATGAAAATAACAATGGCTGAGTAGCGCTTCCTTGGTTGTTAGAGACAACCAGTGATAAGCCTAAACAAGTTGCGTGAAGCTCCAAATAGCATAAACACAGCAGCCCAACATCTGCGCATATGCGGATGTTTGCATGACTAGGTCACGTGCTTTCAGGCTGTCAGAACCAAGTTGTCCCACACGCGTTACAAACAACTAAAGAAGCAACATGTCAGGATGTTCTGCAGGCGCACAATTTCTTTGGTAAAGCACTAAACAGAATGGTAAATCATCAGGATATCCAAAAGCATTATATTCCAAAAGTCTCGAATTTCCCTTCGCTACTTTTGTCTCCTTTCACAGATAGCTACCTACCTAGATTTCGATTTGTTTTCGCTTCTCTTACCGATTTCAAAGGCAAGCAGTGTGTTCAGCAGAAAGGTATGTCCCGAAAATTGAATAAAGTGTCCTTTTTCGTTTCAAGAACTCTGAGTGCTTTTGGCTGTTGAGTTCAGACGGCAATCACGAACATATACAAACTTACATTCTCTCCATACACGTATCCATTGGGTAACACCATGGGTGGGTTGTTCTCGTTCATAATATGCCCTGACATGGGGCACACCAGTCTGGACTGAGCACAGTGGGCGTACGGAAGAGGACGCCCCAAGATGTTCAGAGGATGGCTACAGACAGGACACTCGGAGCTCTTGTGACCCTCTTGATAACAGTGACTGACAAACGTCTGGGTCAAGAATTACATAACATATTCCAAAGGTATGAAATTTCATGCATAGAAATGGCTACCGTTAGTTGAATCTCTGAAATAGCCACCTTATGGACAGAGGGTAGAGGACATTGTCAACCTTTTCACTCCCTGACCCAAGATTTCACGAGTCATTCTCCTTACTGTTTGCCATACAGTTCTCATGATGTTACTTCTGAGAATTTGGTATTGGATCAACCAATTGTCCCTTCATTGATATTATTTTTCCATTATTCTCATCACTTGTGTGCTTGATACTGTATTGATATTGTAACGGGAAGAAATTCTGTCTTGGTCACTTATGGGAGTTTGAAGGGTTGCAACGTTGTTTTTAATTAGGGAGGGCACAAATTTACAAGGGAATCCATAGGCTGTCCAAAAGGAACAAATTTTAAAAATGGTGGCACTGTAAAGGAGGGGGGGGGGAGGGGGGCAACATTCATGTACAAATCACATGGGACATAAACGTTTACTGCTTTAAAATGACAAGCTTATAATGATTTTCTCTTCACAATATCACTGCTAAATCAAACATTAAGGTCATGAGAATGAAGAAAATGATCACCAGCCAAAGAGGCCCTTGCTTTTTTTAAACCAAATTCTCCTTGTCAACACCATAGGAAGTCTATAGAAAACAGTACGGAGAATATACATTCTGATGTTAGGAGGTAAAGAGTTGCTGTTCAAAGCATAACCTGCTGACCAGGAGGGGAAGCAATAATTATTACTCCTTGTTGTTCCAGGCTGTAGAAACTAAGATGAACTCTGGCAGTTGCATTGAAGGCAAGTTGGTCTCACAGGCAGACTTAACAAACACAACTTTCCTGCACATTCCCACAGTGCATTTGCTACTAAAAAATTGAAAGCCTATCATTGTAACAAGCAAGGATATATTTGGATAATGTCATACTATGCATGTTAAGCTTACATGTACAAAATACTGGATATCAAAGGTATGGCACGGTCATACTATACATGCTAAGGTTCCATGTACAAAACACTGGATATCAAAGGTATGGCATGGTCATACTATACATGCTAAGCTTACATGTACAAAACACTGGATATCAAAGGTATGGCAAGGTCATACTATACATGCTAAGCTTACATGACAGTGCAAAACAGTGGATATCAAAGACAGTATTCTTCTACAAAACTCAAAAGTAAAAAAAGATACGGTGTTTTGAGAGCAGACAATCCTGCCTGCAATGTGACCGCTAAAGCAGACTGATCATTAAGCTGGTGAAGTTGGAAATTCTCTCGCCTGAACTGCATTACCAGCTGTGCCCACCTCTCCAGATCAAATAATTCCTGCCAGTAAATAAACATTTTCAAGCAATTATGTTTCAAGGGTAAAGAAATACACGTAAAAAAAAAAAAAAAAAAAAAAAATTGTAAAAAAATTGTAAAAAAATTAACAGAAAAGAGACAATAATATTATTGACAGTGCAATGAACTCTGTTGAGACTGAATTCTCAAAAGCACAAGAAAAAAAATGAGAGATCAGCATTAACTATCATGATAATTATAAATTAAGTTCAAAATTACTTTTCGAAGCAGCAGTAAAATTTAAAAAAGTACAGGTTGTAAGTTAAATAAAATTTATCTTCAAATGGTTTCACACTATATTACAGTAGTTTATCCAGGTTAAAAGCATTAGAACATTTCATTGGAAGAACTAACTCTACATGTCTTGATTAAAATCATTTTGGTCTTAATCATTTTATATTACTACACCTCTTTGTTACTCATAAATAGACACTACAATGACACAGAAGGGAACAAAAACAGATGGATGGTGAGATGGACAAAGCAACAGCTATATCCATGTACAAACAGGACAGAACAAATTAAAATAGACAGAGGCAGGGAATCCCAAATTAGTCAGTGAAAAAGAAAAAAACATTTTGAGCACCAACATGTGCCTTGCCAGATGACATCCATGTAGATGTAAAAACCAGGAGAAGGATTGTAACTCACCCTGTAAGGAGAGCAGCTTGTTCCTGGTTTGAAAGCCAATAAAGCCATGGCTCTCTGAATCTCCTTTGTCATGGTGCCATCAACATTTGCTGGAGGAAAATGTTTCCTTGCATACCTGATTGAAACGTGGGGCATGCAACATAAAAAAATACAGTGTACATACTGTACATTTTAAATGTCATAGAGCCTTTCTAAACCTGACCTAAAGAGTAATTATGAGGATATTGATCTGGTTGTGGACATAGTCCGTACAAGTATACTTACGGTAAATTTCTAAATGTATAATTTCATTAAAAGGTTGATGACAACAAATTAGCACCATAGTCAACTTTTATGATCTGATTCTTGATCTACGCTTGCACAACTGATAATACACCAAAAATAAGTGCTCCTGGACAATGCCTTAGGCAGTATACAAGCCAGTAATGAAAATCTTACTTCGTGAAGAGCGAGTGCAGAGGAAATGAAATGTTGCTTTACAGTTACTACTTTCCAGAGTTGAGGTTCAAGAATCTAGTCTCACATTACAGAGCATGCTCATAAACTATACTCAAACATATTTAAAAGCAATGACATTTACAATAAAGTGTAGATTTGCATTCTAGATCTCCAAGTCTTACCTAACTGCCTCCATTTTGTCACCTCTCCTCACCAGTTCAATAAACTCTTGCATCCTAACATTGAACTCAAGGTTACTCTATCAAACAAATTCAAAATATGATTATTACAAAGTACTTAACAGTACTTAGCCAACCAACAAGAACTGACAAACACTCTCAAAAAGACTTTTAAGTAACCAGACTGTGATACAAAGTTTGCAGCACTATGGGGTCACAAGTGTCATGTCTCCAGGCTCAAAATAATTGAATACAGGCATTTGGAATGACTGGCACATTTTTCAGAGTAGATGGTGAAATGCACCAGCTGTGAGCTTATTTGGCAACCCTGAAACTTAGGTAAGCATAGAAGGATAAGTCTGTTCACAATCAACTAACTCTAACAGTATGCATGTCACGGAAAACAACTGCTGTAGCCCAGTTTGATTAATTTCAGTAATTCACAGTCAGTTTTCTCTACATATAGCTCAACACAGGGCCAGCAATATCAACCGGGAATTGATAATGTACATTAATGTTGGACAACATTTTAAATCCAGAACTCTGGTTCTTCATTCCATTTCCTTCATGGCAAATGAATAGTTCATCTCATAAATAGTCAAGTTCTAATGTAATTTCTTTATCAATGTCATGTGTAGAGGTACCTGAGGTACACAAGTTGGGTAGCATTATAGCTGTACATTTATACAACAATCCAAAGAAACAGTTTAAGCAATCACAATTTATTCATGAAACAAACAGTACCTTGAATTTTCTCAGTTTGGATTTGTTTTCATAACACCAAGCTAAACAAGGTCCAATTTCTCTCCTCAATAAAGACTCTTCTACTTTCCTTGAAATAAGGAATAACTCAATGTCCACAAATTCCTTGAAAATGATGAAATTAAACTGATTAATATATTGCACAAATTTACATAAAGCAATACAGCTTATTCAAAGCATTCACATGTAGTGGTTACATGTAAATGCAGAGCTCTTAATGAGATACATTTTCATGTACTGTTAACTCCAAATACATGTAGCACTGCTGCAACTTACTATAACAACAACAACAACAACGACAACCTTAATGACACTCTTCCTTTGTTGTTTTCTTTTAAGAAAATTCACGACCAAACTATACTTTCTGGCAATCATGTCATATTAGGTAACATTACAAAATAACAACTTTGAAATTGATTATATTAACTAAGTTGAAATTATAAATCAGCCACTGCAATGAGTTAAAAAGCTGATGTTTCGAGTATTAGCCTTTCGTTCTGATGAAGGGCTAACACTCGAAACATTAGTTTTTTGACTTGTTACGGTGGCCAATTTACAATTTAAACTTAGTTGATATAACCAATTACCTTGTTACCCCCACCAATGCAGCACCACAGTTTCCTTAGAAACTTTCACCTTTTATAACTTTGAAAATTGTTGACTTTGGAAAGTTACTTCACTGACTCAGAGATACAAGTACAGTGTTATTTGATGGAATGGCATGTTTTAATCACTTAAAGTTTTCTCTGTTTTTTGTATATAAATGAATTGACCCCTGTAACAAGCTCACCTCAATTTGTGAATCTTTTGCGAGCTTTATAGCAGTTTCATAGTACCCAGATCTAAGACAATGATCCACTAACATTCGATCAAGTCGTTTCTTTTTCCACACTAACTCAGCACTCTTTCTTCCATTGGCATGCTCTTTGATGTGGTCTAGACGTGCACGACAGTGCCGTAAACAAGCTTCTTCTTGGGAAAGACATTCTTCTGACTAAAAGTAATTATTAAAAACTAGATCATTGGATAATGCAATTCAAGACTATTTATTGGCTTAGCCATTATGGTATATCAGCCAATATACCATAATCTACAAATATGGTAAGCGTACGCGTCAGCTTAAAATTAAAAGGGAGCTAAAAAATCCAGTTCTTCTTACAAAATAATAATTTCAATTTAACGTTTTTAATAAAACAATTATTCCACTCGCGCTTGTTGGATATGAGATGATTATAGCCAACTCGGTGCTATGCGCCTTGTTGGCTATCTATCATCTCATATCCAACGCGCACTCATGGAATAATCGTTAAATAGTGTATTTTTGTTTTTCTATTTGGACAGCTTATTGTAATTAACCTCGCAAACTCTTCAAAATGTAATCAAATTCCTACAGTCTCTGCTTTACAGAGTATTGTTGTGCAGCTACATGCACATAGAATAAAATAAATTGTTACAGTTACAAATGATTATCAGCAAGAATTTGTACAATGTGTAGTGGAATTCCATTTTCTCAGAGTTTCTTTTCCAGGAATTTAGTTACTTTTCTTATGGATAGTGGCATACTGCTTTTAGTAATGGGATATCAATGAGGCAAGATTTAACCCTAACACCTGGTAAATGAAAATTTAGATCAAATGTTCTATTTTAGTCAACACTTGTAGGGTTGTTACCAGCAAAATTACCAGCTGATATTTCGGATGTGGTGGTGCAAATAATTATAGTGTCTAATATGGAATTATTGTAACTGCATAACCTCAGAATGCCTGCAGTGCTTTACTGACCCAATCCCCAACAAAAAAATCACGGTTAGAAAATCACCTCTTATCCTGGCAAATTTCACCAGTAGCAAGCACTTACAGGGCTCAACACTAACAGTAGCCAACTAGCCACAAACTAGTAGGAATTCAGTTTTGGCAAGTGCTTTTTAATTTTCACCAGCCAGTTTGGCTATAAACAAATTGAAATTGTTGTAAAATTTAGGTTGTCACTTGCCACTACAATGGCTACTAAGTTGAAAAGTTAATGTTGAGCCCCGACTTAGTAACAATCGCCATGGTGTTCATCTCACCTTTCTTTTCAGTGATTGCAGTTTTTGTACAACTCCATCAAGGAAGCCAGTGATCTCGCCCACCTTGACTGGCACTGAGCCGAGACCATTGGTCAAATCATTACTGGCATTGACCACTAGTGATACTTCCCTATCAATCACCTTTTGAGCTGCTCGAAACTTTTTGTTAAGAATCTCATATGGAACCTGAAGGTAGAAATTAAAAAGATTTAGATAAATACAATTATTGCTCATCAATAAAAAGACATGTACGTATGAAAAAAAAATTCAGCCAGCTGATTGGCTAGGAACATGTCAGAGAGTTGAAACTGTGAGAAAAAAAACAGTTTAGATTGCAGGGCTTGACACAAACGGTAGCCAACTAGCCACAGACTGGTACAATCTCAGTTTTTGGCTTTTGGTTTTCGATTTCCACTGGCCTGTTGGGCTCGGATTTAGAGAGGACATTAATTTTTACATAATGAACAACTTTCATCAAATACTTATCGTAAAATTTGGAAAAAATTGGGAATTGCAAATCTTTAAGCGTAAAATTGCTTTTTTTGTGCATATTATTTCTTCCCAACTTCACTAGAATGCCTTTGACAAACAATGCGAATAAGTCCTGCATCATATTGCGCGCCGACGAGCGAAATACAAGAGTAACTGTAGAAGAATGTACACATGGATCACATCATCGACATTACAACATTCGCCAGTGTTTAACTACAAGCAGCAATTTAAAATTCCCTTACTTAAGCGATACTTTGTATCAGAGTTTTTGGCGTTATTTCGGTTGGCAATGCTTTTGAATTAATATCATAACGCGTCGACATCTCGAGAGGCTTTTTTACAATCGCAGGCACGAATGAAGCTCACTTAGACAAAAAGCGACAACTTTTCTCGAACAGTTACAAGCTTCTTTATACGTACCTTCAAGGTTGAGTATTCTAGTGCTTTTATATCCGCCATATTTGCATATCAAAACCGCCAACAGGTTCACGGCAATAGCTTTCGCCGTGTCGTTTACGACCGTTTATAAAAATAAACAAGGTTTGCAGCGGTGTGTTGCAAAACTATGCTCGCGCAGCGTGACTCTGTTTCTATTCCCAGTCTCCTCTCAAGAAAAAAGTCTAACATAATAATATGGTTTGCACGCACTCAAATAATCTTCTAAGAATTTTAAGATATGATTACAAGTGAAAAAATTTAAATGTTTACCCGTCCTTTTCCATTTTTTTTGTAATCATGAAGGGGTCATGGAGGTTTCTCTGATATTCAATTGGAAACCGTGGAATATTTCCATAGAAACCAAGATAAGGAAATAGATTGCTTAAATCTACAGAAGAGGGAAATATGCCAAGAAAAGGCATCAAGCCGAAATGAATAGGCTAGTAGCCACCAAAACTGAAAAATGAAGGAAAAAAAACACTGTACTCGATACTGATGAAACACGTAAAGTAATTAAAAAAATTACAAAGAAAAGAAACAAACAAATAAACGAAAACAATTACTCCTTCTCAAATCAGTGTTTTTGTTGTTAAAGGTGATCCGACTCACGTCATTTCCTGTATTCGATAGTGAAATTAATACATGAGTTAATTTTTTACCCGTCTGGCGATCACTGATGTTTGCTTGGTTTCAAATGACATATTTTGTGAATACTTTTCCTCTGCATTCAAACGTAGTCAACTGAACCGGCATCAAGGGCTAAAGTTTGAGAAAATTCTGTACAATGGAGACCATATCGCTTGAGATGCATCCAATGGGAAACAGTGAAAGTATAGTTGAACCTAGACCATACATGCAAGACCTTCCAAGCCGTCTAGTTCGCCATTCCGCTTCGACAGTTATGAGGAGTCAAGCCTCTATGCAGCGGAGAAGCGTTGGAAATACACTTCAACGAACGGACGCTTTGAGAAGAGATGGGAATTTGCAAGGGCAGCTCGACGAATTTTCGCCAGGGCCTGTGTGCGACCGTCAAATGATCGACTGTGGGTTTTCTACACTCCCTGAAGAAGTCTTAGAGAAAGTGAATTTCAAAGCTGTCCCTTTACCGATGTCATTTAAACGCCGGTTTAAGGATTCTCTACAGGCAAGAGCTCCTAAGAGAGTTTCGAAAGGGAAAGCTCTGCTGATGAGCGTAACCATGGCATGGACTCGCTTTGAAATCGTTGTTAAAGAAGGCCTTTATTCTCTTCAACTCTGGCGCGGACATCTCAAAGAAATTGAAGGGCAGTTCGGCAGCGGTGTAGTCTCGTACTTTGTATTTCTTCGTTGGCTCATGTTACTAAATTTATTTGTCTTTGTGATGGAGTTCGGCTTTGTTTCTCTGCCAACCATAGTAATCTGTTCTGGCACGCCCACGAATCACGCGAACGGTCACGCAACCAACGTGACAAGCTGTAGATACGACTCTGCTTATTCCTCTTCGAATAAATCGGACAGCGGCATACTGACAGCGGTGTTAGACTTCTTTACTGGGCAAGGCTGGATCAGTAACACAATCATGTTCTACAGTACTTACCCGTCGGATGTTATCATATCCCAAGAAGGGGTGAGATACCTCTTACCGCTGGCCTACCTGTTGACTGGGGGCGCGTATTTCCTATTCTGTCTCCTTACCTTAGTAAAGAATGCATCCAGCGGCTTAAGACAAGGTTACATCGAAAGCGAGGGCGTATTTAACTCATTTTGCAACCGGCTGTTTTCTGCGTGGGATTACTGTATTTGTGAACGGAGTGCGGCTATGCACAAAAAGCAGATTATCGCTAAGGACTTTTGCTTTGAATTGGAGGAGGAACAAAGATTGAGACGAACTCTAAACCGGACAAAGAAGCAGAAAATGGTCTTATATGCAACTCGAATCACCATCAATGTTCTCATAGTCCCAGCTCTTTGGTACGTGTCATTCGTGCTCGTGTTCGGCGTCATCTTCTCCAAAAAAGTCACCGAAAAAGGCCGGAACCAGTTTGAGCAAATGTTAATTCGATCTTCTCTGTCTCTAGCTATTACAATCCCGAACCTTGTTCTTCCGCCATTGTTCGAGTTCTTGTCCGTCTTTGAGGACTGGGGTCCGAAGTTTGAATTGGGGCTGAATCTTTTGCGGCGAATTTGCGTCAAGTTGCCTTCCATTGCGATGTTGATGATTCTTCTGTACAAGGACCTTGGTGATCGGATCCAGGATGACTCGGTGCTGCTATCAGCGCATTGCGAACAATGTTGGGAAAACGAGATTGCAGCGCAGATGTACATGCTTGTCTGGGTCGATTTCTTTGTTGTGTTGCTCATTACCCTCGGCTTCGAGACTTTCAGAAAGCTTCTCTACAAGCACTGTAGCTGTTTTCGCAAAATTGGAATGGCACAGTTCGACATTTCCCGCAACGTCATCGATTTGGCGTATGGGCAGTGTTTGATTCTGATCGGAACGTTTTTCAGCCCCATTCTCCCCGTCATCGGCGTCTTAAAACTGATTGTGTTCTTCTATGTTAAGAAACTAAGCTTGTTTCACAACAATCGTTTGCCTGACAAACCTTTCCAAGGCGCGAAACTGAGTTCTATTTTCGCGCTTCTTTTACTCGTCACGTTTTTGATGTCCATAGGGCTCGTTGGTTGGGGCGTGACAAGAGTGCCAACATCTTATTGTGGACCGTTCAAAAACACTGAATGCAGCAAAGAGAAATTTATCATTGATGAATTATCCTACGTGGTCTCAGGGTGGCCCGAGTTTATTCACGCGACACTGCGATTCATGCGCACAGCGGCGTTCCTCCTTCCCATTACGATAGGGGTATTGAGCCTACTCTATTATTACCGTTCAATGGCACATGAGCACCGACGAGTGATTAAGACTTTGAAGAATCACCTCATTTATGAGGGAAAATTTAAGAAGAAACTCCTCTCTCAATTAGTGTCTCAGCCGTACGGTGATAGAAATGAGAGGAAGGGATCTGAAAAATACAGTGAAGAGGACATATTGTTGGCCTCTCTGTGTGATTGAAAGGTGATTTAGAGCACTAAATGAAAACTCTGAAATGCGGAGACTAAAATTGCAAGGCCGTCGTTGGCTTCAAAGGGGGAGTAAGAAAAACTAGATTTTTTCGACGCCAGATCATTTGGATCTGTGTAGCTCCCACGCAAACCCTGGGGAAGGCATTTCACATCGCTATAAATCCCTGCACCCCCTCCCCTTTGTTCGCGGGTGAGGCAGATAGAAAATTGCGGTATTCACAATCAAGGACGGGTAAATGATTGTCTAGCCTTTCACAGTTTGTCTCCGGGAGAAGTTAGGAAAATCGATTTGGATTTCCAAAGAGAAGTTGGCAAGATTGTACAAATTACCACTCATAATCATTAGATCATTGTAAACGAGTATCCTACTGCTGATTACTTTTGAAAAATTACAGTTGTAAGTTATTCGCTATGAAGAGAGCTGTGTATGAAAAACAAACCACTTGAAATGAAATAAAATGAAAGAGACCATAAAATATATTTCTTCTTAATCTCTTTTGGTCACCTTTCGCTGCATGCAGTCTCGCAAACCAGAACTGATCGAATGCCGAAAAAATGGAGCAAATTCTTTGAACGCACTTCCAAGCCGTGAATACAATTTCTGCTTATTTAAACCCGGAAACAAATGATGTAATCTTATTAAGACCGCAAAAATAAAAATAAAAGAATACTTTGAACTTATGAGACACTAAAACGAGTTTACAGGAATATAGGTTTTCTCCGCTTGCACCTTATGCCGACTTATTTTCCTTAGCTTCCGCTCCCACTATTCAAGGTTTGCGAACTTATACTATGATTATTATAATAATTATTACTTTCTTTCTGGCTAATTTCTTTCATCTGCGCGTCACATTAAAGGACTTTTGTCATTTGTCGCCGGGAGGGAGGACCTTAGAAACTTTGTGATCACATGTGTAGTATACCGAAGTTAAGTTGGAAACCGCTTATTCATGTCCCTTACAAACTTACTCTTAACCGAAAAAAAAAAACTACTACAATAAATTAAATACACGCAATATACTTACAGGCAAATCTGTAGCTCCCGAGTGTATTACATCACTCTCATTCGTTTCCACACTGTACACTTCTATATGGTTTTAAGGGAAATTGTTGCGGGGTCAGTAGTTGTCAACAGATTATAAAGGTGGAACTGTGGAGAATCGACTGCCACTTAATTGCCAACGATTGGAATATCACAAAGCCTTATGGGAGATCAGGTAAACCTAGTCGCAACACAACCAAATCCACCGGGACCCCCACCCCTCCCCCCCCCATTCTCAATACCTCCGATGACCATCGAATTCTGATCATCATTATTCTTACATAGGCAGTGAAAGTCATCACTGGACTACCAAAATCAGTAATAAAATTTTGGGGCAATTGATTTCATAACTCGTGCTGATGTGAAATTTACATCTAACTCCCGGTTTTTGGTCTGTATCGTCAAAATTCCGTAAACCTCATCTAATCGTGACAACCAACAAACCTTGTTCATCGATGAAAATCAAGCCTTAACAAACATGACCCATATTTTCATCGGTTCAGTCTTACAAACTCCCTTGGTTTTAAACTGAGGGGTTTTATCGGTGCAATTGCAAACATGAGAATTTGTTTTAGAACCCGGGAAAGCAAAAAATTAATAGCTCAGTACAGATCTTCTGGTACCACAACAAACACAAACTAAACTAAAACAGCTAGATCGCATATTTCTCTGGGATAAAGTGTTCAAATAGTGTGGAAAATTAAGAGATTCTGGGGAGTATTCCTTACCCCCCCCCCAAAAAAAAATGTTTATCTTCATCAAGTTCAAACGTGTAGACAGTCTATAATGCTCTGTTTATTTTCCTGAGTTTAGCGTACATTTTCCTCCGTTTCCGAGATTGCTGCTGAGATGTATTTGCATATCTGGGTCAACTCAGCATCAAGAGTGCTGACCATGAGACAAAGGATTTTTCTGCACTGAACAGAATATAGATATGCCGGCTAAACTCTCATTAGACAGGATTTCCCTCACGTTCTAATAGAAAGAGGGTACTCATACTATAATCTGGGAAGATTGTGTTAGAAGTAAAATCTCGAACACTCGTTGTTTGTTTGGTTGATTCTTTAATCTCATTTCTTCTCAAGTTGTTACAACGGGGTCTAGCTTCTATCTATCTAATGAGGAAAGCAAGGGTCACCGTTTATAAAGGTGACACTGCAGATGACACTACTAAGCTGTCAATCTTCTTTGTATCGTCATCGTCCCATATCAGACTGCGAATCATGTTAGATTACGTATGACAGTTCCTGCTCACTAGGCATACGCCTTCGAGTTATTTGCAGAGTTACAAAATCATTTCGTTCTACCTTAAATTTCTTATTCTTACAGTCGAGATCGGCCAGAACAGAAATGAGACTGGTAATATAAAAGTCATGACTAACCTATTGACAGAATATTATTCACACCTGAAAGGGTATCTTAAGAGAAAATTACCTTAGAAGACCGTTACATAACAACAACATGATCACAAGAGTTGAAGAAGGGGCGTTCACAAGTACCGCCCCTAAGTTGCTACCTGCCAGTCATAATAACTATCTAGTTACGAAACACGAAGGGTATCATGTGTTTACACCATAGGTCACCTCTAGGTGTCGAACGCGACCTTTTTACCAGAGAGATTCACTCTTCCTGGACTAAGAAATTAACTTAATTTATAAGATAGCTTTCCCAAGACACTATCGCGAGTTCTAATTATTTTAGAAACTGAACAACTGTTTCCATGTCAACTTCACGATCATAATGAGGAAAACGTGACCAACTCTACCTTTAAGATAAGACTTCCAATAGGAATAGAAAACAATCAATCTACCTTTTTATAATTTTTGTTTCGATTGGTTCAAAGTAATATAATATTTCCATTCCTTTTCCCGACACCAATAGAAGGAAACCCTTACGATGTTTCAGATTAAATATAGTTGTATTTTTATCGTTTAAAAAATATGCCGCGATGTGTGGGAAGGGAAAACGAAAGAAAACAATTTATTTCATTTGACACAAGATTCCACAGTAATGCTTCAGTGTATAATAATCTGTTGGGAAAATAGTTAAGCAAAGATAAAACTAGTGTAAATACTTTTGTTCTTGAGGCATCGTAATTTGATTAAAAAATAAGACACAAACAGCAGTGATAAACATATTGAACTTGCACATTTTGATTATGACTTGACGTTTCGAATGTACTCAACATACATTTTCAAAAGTAACCGTTGAAATTTAAAACAGCTCTGTATATATATAACTAAGGTGAGGGGACTGACTCAAGGCCACTGGACATAATATCAAGTGGGATCATTTTGATATTTTGGCGAAGGGCAAAACAGACTACCATTGTAAAATCAAGGAGTCTTGACTTATTCAAGAACTCGAGCCAGCTTTCAACGTGAACGTCGGAAGCGAAAAGCTGTTGCTCTATCAATCTTCTCTAGTGTTATTGTTTATTGTTAAGTTTTTTGCTTAATCTTGGTTCCAGTCCCCTCACCTTAGTTATATTTATACAGAGCGGTTTTAAATTTCAACGGTTGCTTTTGAAAATTAAATGTATGTTGAGTACATACGAAACGTCAAGTCATAATCAAAATGTGCAAGTTCAATATGTTTGTCACTGTCGTTTGTGTCTTATTTTTAAAACTAGCTAGTGCACTGCTACGTGCGCATGTTGACTCAGCAAGCGGGGAGCTCATCTTTGAATGATACGACATCATCGACTCTATGATTTTTTTTTCTTTTAAGTCAGATTAGCAATTACCGTTCATTTTAATTTCGTGTCTGATGTAGAGACAGTATTAATAGAGCTCTTTTTGGGCTCCTTAAATTCCTTAGGTAGAATTTTTTCACAATTAGTAAGAGAGCTTCACCTATCAGTCGATCGGGTATTTGGACCCTGATCTCCCTGGACGGAAAGTACTTGAAGTTGAAAATTAAATAGCCCCATTTAAGTGTGTGATGCATGATAGTCCTTACTTAAATCTTAGATATAGAAGTATTCAGTTACGAAAGATAGCTTCAGTCGGCTTACCTGTGACCCTTGCCTGCAAGTACTAATGTCGAAAAGACTCTAAAATGTTTACTAGGACAGATTTCTGATTTCAACCGTTCATAAGTTTTATCCTTAGACCTAAGGGAGTTTCACAACTTGGAACTGAAATACCTAATCAATCTATAGTTGACTCAGTTTTTCGAAACTGTGTGTTGCATCACATAACTTGATTAGATCCGTCAATGATGTGAAAAAATGTGTACTTCTATTCATGATTTGATCAGTATCATCTTTGTTTTTAACTTAATTGAAGCTGTCCCTTAGTTTCATTTTTTCGGCTCAACTAAGAGCCATGGCCAATTCAGATGTCCGTGTAAGAAACGTTTACAGTTATATTTGTTTTTCATGGTGCTATTTATGCCGATTGATACCCTTTCCAGATATACCTAAATAGCACTCCAGCCTTCGAACCTTTGAAAGAATGACTCCAAACTTTCTTTTGTAAGGTTCTAACAAACGTTGTCCTACTTGATTTCGCCCTGACTGTATAAAAAACATAAACAAAGTAAAGATCCACCTAATTCATTTCATACCTGAATATAGCGTCCTCTAATTAACTTCCATTTTCTACTACTTCAAGTCTTGATGCAAAACAGTTTAAAAGAGTTCGCAGAAAAGCTACCCCGCAAATATTTATCAAACCCCAGCGCACAGGTTAAGGGATACCAGTGCTATCATGGTGCCTCTCATACTCACTCATTTTTTGACTGGCCTAAAATCAATCATAAGCACCCGCCATATTCGCCATACATGGGATCGTCTTTTTCGTAGTTTTCATGGCAGGGATCGTATTCTTCATAGCTGTCAAAGTCCTCTTGCCTAGAATCATAATCATCATAGTTTGTCAAAGTCGTCTTGCCTGGGATCATAATCTTCTTCGTTGTCATAGTCGTCTTGTATGGGATCATAATCTTCTTCGTTGTCAAAGTCGTCTTGCATGGAATCATAATCTTCGTTGTCATAGTCGTCTTGTATGGGATCATAATCTTCTTCGTTGTCAAAGTCGTCTTGCTTGGGATCATCATCTTCTTCGTTGTCAAAGTCGTCTTGCATGGGATCATAATGTTCTTCGTTGCCAAAGTCGTCATAGCGGGGATCATTCTCATCATAGGCGTCAATGTCGCCATAGGCTGCCACTCCTCTAGTTACATAGACAATTTTTTCCACCTTTTTTCCTTTTTTCGGCTCTCCTTTTTCATCCTGTTGTAACGAAAATACACGAAATAAGTTAAGTCGTCCCTCTGACTAAGACGCGATCAAAGAACACGAGGATGGATTCGTGTTATATGAATTTCTCCGTGTTCTTCATCGCAGAGGGTATTACCAAAGGTGGTTCCCTCAAAACGTCTGTCAAACATTTCTGAGTTCAAACACGGATGATATTTTACAGACTGAAGGAAACAAAAAATGATGAAAACCCATATTCTGCAAGCTGTAAACGAAAAGGAATATTGAAGGTATATTGAAGAGTAACTACCATGTAAAATGAACACTGTGAGTGTCATATTTTTTTCCGAGTAAATTTTCATATCTGTTGGAGTTAATGATTGAAATCTCTGCTAGGAATCGACTACATGTTCAGACAACCGTTTGTTAGCTGTAGTTATGCATAAAAATATTCTTTCTTTTACAAAAAAACTCTTAGGGACACTTTTCCTAGACATGAGGGGATTTGATGGGGCTTTAACTTAATGAATTTCTGCGGTTTCTCCTTTGGAATTTCGACGGAGTAATCGTTTTTCGATGAGATGACACCAGTATGACTGTTCCTTTTCANATAATCTTCGTTGTCATAGTCGTCTTGTATGGGATCATAATCTTCGTTGTCAAAGTCGTCTTGCCTGGGATCATAATCTTCTTCGTTGTCATAGTCGTCTTGTATGGGATCATAATCTTCTTCGTTGTCAAAGTCGTCTTGCATGGAATCATAATCTTCGTTGTCATAGTCGTCTTGTATGGGATCATAATCTTCGTTGTCAAAGTCGTCTTGCCTGGGATCATAATCTTCTTCGTTGTCATAGTCGTCTTGTATGGGATCATAATCTTCTTCGTTGTCAAAGTCGTCTTGCATGGAATCATAATCTTCGTTGCCATAGTCGTCTTGTATGGGATCATAATCTTCTTCGTTGTCAAAGTCGTTTTGCATGGAATCATAATCTTCTTCGTTGTCATAGTCGTCTTGTATGGGATCATAATCTTCTTCGTTGTCAAAGTCGTCTTGCTTGGGATCATCATCTTCTTCGTTGTCAAAGTCGTCTTGCATGGGATCATAATGTTCTTCGTTGCCAAAGTCGTCATAGCGGGGATCATTCTCATCATAGGCGTCAATGTCGCCATAGGCTGCCACTCCTCTAGTTACATAGACAATTTTTTCCACCTTTTTTCCTTTTTTCGGCTCTCCTTTTTCATCCTGTTGTAACGAAAATACACGAAATAAGTTAAGTCGTCCCTCTGACTAAGACGCGATCAAAGAACACGAGGATGGATTCGTGTTATATGAATTTCTCCGTGTTCTTCATCGCAGAGGGTATTACCAAAGGTGGTTCCCTCAAAACGTCTGTCAAACATTTCTGAGTTCAAACACGGATGATATTTTACAGACTGAAGGAAACAAAAAATGATGAAAACCCATATTCTGCAAGCTGTAAACGAAAAGGAATATTGAAGGTATATTGAAGAGTAACTACCATGTAAAATGAACACTGTGAGTGTCATATTTTTTTCCGAGTAAATTTTCATATCTGTTGGAGTTAATGATTGAAATCTCTGCTAGGAATCGACTACATGTTCAGACAACCGTTTGTTAGCTGTAGTTATGCATAAAAATATTCTTTCTTTTACAAAAAAACTCTTAGGGACACTTTTCCTAGACATGAGGGGATTTGATGGGGCTTTAACTTAATGAATTTCTGCGGTTTCTCCTTTGGAATTTCGACGGAGTAATCGTTTTTCGATGAGATGACACCAGTATGACTGTTCCTTTTCATAACTCCTCTGCAAGCTAATATGCTCAGCCTATATTATGGAGGCAACGTATCAGGTACTTACGAAATAATCGTTGGCAATGATCAGACTTTGGTTTCTTTTCCAAACGTTTTTGACACGATCTACTTCATTTTCGCCCATCTCAACGTTCTCTATATTCAGTCGTTTGAGTTTTGAGATCTTGCAGAGATTCTCGATGAGATCACACACTCCCTGTGCCAATGGATTGTAACCAACGGATAGTGTTTTAAGAGTTTGAAAGGACCTAAGATAGCTAGTTAGCTCTGTAATCTCTTCGACACCCATCTTTGTGTCATTCATATTGAGCTCAGTTAGGCAGGCTGCTCTGAAAAGATTTTCTGCAATCGCAACAACTGCACTTCCCAGAGGATTGTGGGAAATATCCAGATTTTCTAACTTTGAAAGAAATTGTAAGCCTTTGGCGAGGGACCTTGCTCCTTCTTCATCCATTTTGGTATCACTCAGTTCCAGATCAGTAAGGTGAGGAATATACTCCAAATTATCTGCCAACCCTGAGATCGAGGTTCCCAACTGGTTTCGAGACACAGAAAGTACTTTCAAATGAGGAACATGGTACAAGGAATTGGCAAGGTCTGAGAAGGCTCGTTCGTCCATACGCACATTTGACAACTCCAAGACATTCAGCTGTTGCAGGTGATGTAGATTGTCTGCTAGGCATCTAATACTGCTCCCCAGCGGATTTTCAGATAGGTACAACTTTTCCAGGTTACTAGCCTTATGGAAGCCAGCTGTTAGAATGGGCAGCGATTGTGCTGTCAAGCATATTTTGTGGAGTCTCAAGCATTGAAGACACTCCGTTATGCTTATTCCCGACACAAGAGCATCAATCTCCTGAGGCTGTGAAGGTTCATGAACGCTTCGCAACGCTACCTCGTGAGGTCTGGCAAGAAGGGGCACAACATTAGTAATAACATGGACAGCTTTACAATGTATTTCACCAATGTCAATTTTTTTCGCCAATGAAAAGCAGTGCTGCTCATCTACTTTGGTTACCCCATGACTGTCTCGTGATTTCTCATGATCTGTGAGTTTCTGATGAAAAGTACCCATCGTTGGTGGTGTTGCCTCCTGTAATGCTCCAATTACTACACTGGAAATCTGAGAGAAGTAAAGATACATCTTATCTTCCTTGCACTTTAGGAACATTGAGGCCAATACTTCGCTTTTGGTCTGCCTTCCTACGAAATCCGATGCCTTTTTTTCCTCTGGAGTAATTTCGAGTACTGAATTAAGGTCGTCCATGATGGAGGCCATGTAATCGCGGTCTTTCAGAGATGGATGCTTTGGGAAATCGAAGAGAACATAATTAGGACGGGCGTCACACTTAACAATATGACTGTCGGCAACTCGAGGCAGGAGTGTTTCTGGTATAACCAAAACGCCGCTGACAGAACTCAAAAGTGACGGGTAGACATCTGCCTTTGACTCATTGGGTGTTGCAATAAAGCACTCTAAGCTTAGCTGTAACAACTTCTTTTCATCATCCGGTAGATCCTCCAGGAATAGGGTTTTTCCGATTTTGACCTCAGAGGAATTTTGGCCTTTCCGCAAAGATTTAAGGTGCTGCAATACTGCTATCGAACTTTCCGGTGACCACTCGCAGACAAACTTAAGGACTTCAAGAAAGTCGACCACTTTTCTAGGGGAATCTATGGCTTGCATGCATGAGAGATCGTCTGTGGAGGAGGGAATTAGCCTGTGAATGATAAACCAAGCTGCCAAAAACTCTTGAATGGATTTATGTAGAAAGGCAACCTTCTTCATTGGCTTTGCGCTGAAGAGCTTTACGATTTGAATAACACCAACGGTTAGCAATTTGCTACCCAGAAGTTCGATAGGAAGCTGTTCATAATCAAACTCAAGAGAATTTCTCAGTAAAGCTTCAAATGCCAGCTCTCCCACTTGTTCAAGATCTCTCTGGTAGTCATGGATACTTTCAAACGTACCTTCGTTGACTTTCGCAGCCACGTGGTTGAACAGGGTTTGAATGAACTCTTTGTACAGGTGTACTTTCGCCTCCGGTAACACTTTGCGATCTTTCTCCTTCCAGACCAAACAAAGCATCAGTAGAAGAAGGGGGATTTCTGCAATCTCCATCAGTGTGTGCTTCTTTATGTAATTCAGAAACATTTCTACTTCTTGCTCATCTTCAAGTATCTTCATCGCGAACTCTTTAATCCGAGCCCAGTCAAATCCTTTGATCTGAAACTGCGCGTGGCTAAATCGTTTGGTGTTATCTTCCTTTACGGATCGCGTCGTCAAAATCACGGAGCAATCTCGGAGCTCCTCCCCCATCCAAATGCGATTTACCACTAGCGACTTCCCGCTTGCGCTATACTCGTCAAAGCCATCCAAAACCAGCAAAACTTTATCCTGGCAATCACGGATGTACCTGGTGAGACCGTCAATGAATCTTTGATCTTCCGCTGAAAATAGCTTGGCTTCAATTAAAATATCACCTAATGTTATACTATCGCAAACATTCCGCAACGGGATCATGAGCAGCAGATCAAACTTCTTAAGGATTTGCTTTTTGCCTTTTGCCCAGTCGAGAGCGATTTTCTGAGCAAAGGTGGATTTTCCGATCCCAGGTAAACCATATATAAGGAATCTGTTTGAGTGTGAGTTGCTCTTCTGCTCTTTTAAGACGTCGGAATAATCGTCGAGTTTCTTCTCTTTCTTTCCACTTGGCCTCCGGTAATCTCTGACCCAAAACAGCTCTGTGTAAATCTCATCGATGTGTACGGTGTTGTCAGGATCCCAAGGCGTGATGTTAACCTGGCTTGAGTTGATGTAGAGCTTTTCTAGACGAGCTTTATATTCTGTAATGTAAAAGCACACGAATTGGAATGACACTGCAAGAAGATTTCTATAATATGTTAGACTGTACCTGAGGTGCTACGAATTTCATGTGTTCCCATGATTCACCGAAATTTCTCGTGTAAAATTGGTTTTGCGTTCTTCCGTTCAATCAGCAGAGCCTTTATCACTTGTCGAGTTACTACCTACCAATATAAAATGTTGGTATCTTTATATAGTGAAGACAACGCTTCAGAATACTTGTCAGCGTGCCTAACCGGTGGCTTGGTGTGCGCTTAGGTAAGGCAGTGAAGCAGCGAAAACGGACGTCGGAATCGTGAGAGGATTGGGCTGTTTTTCTCATTTAAGGCTCTGGCCCCAGTTGTTCGAAGGGTGGATAACGCTATCCGCTGGATAAATCTCTATCCGGTGGATAGCATAGTACGTTTTTCTATCACTTATCCGCTGGATAGCGTTTTATCCGTTGGATAGGGTTATTTGCTCCTCGAACAACCGGAGCCTGGCCTCTCGTTTCTTTTCCTAATTAAGAATCAGTTATATTATGTTTTATTCACGCCTTATGCGCTGAGATTCCCCTTTAGAATAGGCTCATAGAAAGCAGAGTGTTTTTTTTTAACAAAGGGGAAGTAACTTTTCTGCACAATGCTTCGGCAAATAAATCGCATAATCGGAACACACAAAGAGCTTAAATGTAAGTGAGGGAGGTAGCGGAGGATGTATAATTTGTATGTTACACAGAAACTTTTTTTCTAAATTTGTGCTAAGTGTCACTGTTTTCACGGTAATGTTTAGAAAATAGTATCTAGTGCTAACCTTGAACGTCATGTTCTTCTGCAGATAATACGACTGGCATCGCAAAATCTAATTTCTCGCCCAGCTTTTGTATTTGGCAATCGATGGTCCCCAGATGACCTTTGATTTCACCAAGCTCTTCCATGACACTTTCTTCATTTTCCTTCCATTCTTTCAGAAGCTGTTGATAGTAATTCTCCTTCTCAGGGTCAATCCCCTCAGTTTTCATTTTATCAATGATCGCCTCATAGGCGTTTCCTCCGAGTCTCACCAAAGTCCCCTTGATATTTTTCCAGTGCAATTCAAATTGTACGTCATCAACAGAAGCCTGTTTGGCGTGGGCAAACACTTCGTTCCGGTGGATTGTAATACGGACAATATCGGCTGCCTTTGCATTGTCTGCCACATGCGGAAGACTGTTCCAGCCAGAAGCTGGAGGAGAAAGGCCACAGATATTCTTAAGAAGGACAGCTAGCAAGGAAATGTCAAATTGCTTTGATGACACCAACGATGACGTGACTATTGCCAACTGCTGCAGGTTGAGAACTCGTTTCTTTCTTAAGTCATTAAGCTTAGAAATTACTGGAGGAGTACTCAAAACTTTGTCAAGGCTTCCTGTTGGACGCAGTCTATCGAATGTGTCTCTTAGTACTTCCGAACCTATATCCACCAGTAGTCGACACAACCGGGCGTAGTTGGCTGTTTCTTTGGTATACGTAGAAATAGACGCTGTCGCCAT